ACTTCAAGCATATCCTTCCTAATAGGTATAAAGATGAGTCCTGGATTTGCGATTCCTGTCTCCTCCAGAAGTTCGATCTTTGCAGAAATGGACGATATGGTTCCAATTCTCGATGCTTCGTTGATGTAGGGCTTCAGACGGGTCTCTGCTAGACGGTCCTCTTCAAACACCTCCACAACGAACCAACAATTTTCGATATCCAGTCAATCGTTAAAACGAAATCACCACGTTCGATACGCGATAACCCGGATATCCTACCGACTGCGCCAATAATATTTCCGACAGCTCGAAGTCCCTTTTTAAAAACTTTATTTTTCGTATACACGTATGATTGACAAATTATGTACAAGAGATGTTTAACATACGGAGTTGAGTTAAGAACTGACTGCAGAACGGCTCTCGCTGGGTACACGACGATCTTGCTGATTTCATGGAAACGGTGGATTCAGGGAATCCAAACTGTGGGATCAGCAATGTCAGCATCTTCTTGTGGGAACCTATGTTGAGTGGCGACATAATTCGTGATATGAAAGAATTCAACCGGACAGTATGTTGTGGAGAAATCGAACGCTTCTCACATACAAGTCGAGAAACAATTCACCATACAGGCAAACAATTTTTGTTTAAAAAAATATCACATTTGAGAATATACAGGGTGGGGCAATGGAAACGAAACAGCGGATCTTTAGGTCGACAGAACCGGATTATATAGAAACGCTGAAACACGTCAGCTATATTTTCGAGGAAGACATCGTTCAAAAATATTTTTAGCAACAACTGACACTGATTTACTATTTACTGACACTTAATTGGAACAGATGCAGGGTGATCAGTATTCTGAATCTTGTAATCGTTCGAAATAACCCAATCAAACCCGGTATCGTTAAATTCGTTATGATAATCCCCAACCGATTATGGAAAAAATACATGGTGTCCCATTTGAAAATCAAAAGTTAATGTCATTTCCAGGAAAACCGGATGATGAAAAAAACCTAAAATGTGAGCATATTCGATGCTATAAATATCAGGAATATAGCTAGAAAAGCAAAGGAGAAAAGGACGGTATAATGAAATGATGAAAAAAAAAACACTCACTAGCGTGAAAACAAAATGAATTTGTATAAAAGAGTCCACTTCTGCTATTTCATTGTTTGAAAGTTTCCACAGCACTAAATACCAAAACAAGACATCCGTGTTTTAGTAAACACTCTGTTTGGAATGATGATCAATTTTTTTCGCGTTTATTCCAATGCCTATCACAAAATTCAACCGTACCCGAGGTTGTTTGTGATGAAATGTAAGAACTAACGTATAGTAACAACATGTGTTTTTGTAAATTTGGAATTTGCAAGTATACATACTGTTGTTAAATGATTTTTATTCATTGACTTATAGAATGAACTCGAAATAATCTGAAGTTGAATGTAAATGTCATTTTACTTATTAACGTCAAAAAATTTCCAGTGAAGTTTCATGCTCCGTCCCCCAAAGAGGAGGAGAAAATTCCCAAGAAATTTGTTTAGTTGCTATGGTAACGATACGAAATACAGGCTTTGAATTGATCGAAAATGTTTGGTGTGAAAGGACCCCGCACTTTTAGTACGTAAAATGGTTCTCGGTGAAATTTTCTGAATTTTCAGTATGTTGTAGAATTCGATGAACTGATTGAACCTGCAGAATCGTTAAGTTCTTTGATGAACAGATTCTGAGATACAGGGCGTTGAAGTTACAAATCGGTATTTTTCATTTAATTATTTTCTCGAAATTCAAAGATGCCAAGTACAATTTTTTTCGCTCATATCATCAACGAACCTCCATATTACTCAACATAATTCAGATGGTTCAGATAATGTAATTGTTTACAGAGTGAAACATATAAACATTTCAGTGATGTCTGAAAATTCGATGTTATAATGAAATATCGAAAAAATAATTCCGGCATGCAATATACTATTCTCATTCCATCATGAATCACAATTCATACATTTCATACAGGGTGATTTGAAAAATTGGTGACACCTAAGACCGATTTATTCATACACATCCTGTATATTCGAGTTAATTGTTAGACTTCCAAGATAGCTGATACCGTATGAACATGATTTCGTTGAGATATATAGGGTGATCATGAAGATTTTCGATGATGAAAATGACTAAAAATCGTGTTTTTTGAAATCACCCTGTTATTCATGATAAACTCGGTGAAATTCCCTAATTATTTTTTAATATATCCATCATTCGCTCCTCAACGCTGTCTTGAAAATTCAGTTTCCTATCATGACGGGTGTCATAGCTATTGATTCAGGAACTTACCATTTGCATGAAGAGTTGAAGAGACTTGTTCAGTTATATTCGCATAGTGGCCGATATTTTTCTCAAATAGTGAAACATGAGAATGTGGAGACGAAAATAAGTTTAGCATTCATATACAGGGTGAACATAAGAAATTCAATAACAATAGCAGATATATGAATTTAATAATATTAATATAATGTACAGATAGTTAGGCGAATTTCGATACCAGGATTCAACTCTCCCTATTAGAAATGGAAGCGTGAAAGACCGAATCATTCTCCCATCTCCTAGGTATTGTTCGTTTTTCATTTTGGCAGAGCTTGTATACCAACGAAATTCGCCTATCTGTACATTATATTAATATTATTAAATTCCTATATATGCTATTGTCATTGAATTTCTTATGTTCACCCTGTATATGAATACTAAACTTATTTTCGTCTCCACATTCTCATGTTTCACTATTTGAGAAAAATATCGGCCACTATGCGAATATAACTGAACAAGTCTCTTCAACTCTTCATGCAAATGGTAAGTTCCTGAATCAATAGCTATGACACCCGTCATGATAGGAAACTGAATTTTCAAGACAGCGTTGAGGAGCGAATGATGGATATATTAAAAAGTAATTAGGGAATTTCACCGAGTTAATCATGAATAACAGGGTGATTTCAAAAAACACGATTTTTTGTCATTTTCATCATCGAAAATCTTCATGATCACCCTATATATCTCAACGAAATCATGTCCATACGGTATCAGCTATCTTGGGAGTCTAACAATTCACTCGAATATACAGGATGTGTATGAATAAATCGGTCTTAGGTGTCACCAATTTTTCAAATCACCCTGTATGAAATGTATGAATTGTGATTCATGATGGAATGAGAATAGTATATTGCATGCCTGAATTATTTTTTCGATATTTCATTATTACATCGAATTTTCAGACATCACTGAAATGTTTATATGTTTCACTCTGTAAACAATTACATTATCTGAACCATCTGAATTATGTTGAGTAATATGGAGGTTCGTTGATGATATGAGCGAAAAAAATTGTACTTGGCATCTTTGAATTTCGAGAAAATAATTAAATGAAAAATACCGATTTGTAACTTCAACGCCCTGTATCTCAGAATCTGTTCATCAAAGAACTTTACGATCCTGCAGGTTCAATCAGTTCATCGCATTCTACAACATACTGAAAATTCAGAGAATTTCACCGAGAACCATTTTACGTACTAAAAGTGCGGGGTCCTTTGGACTTATAATATCACGAGAGCTTCAATTATTTCCGGAATTTTTTTCGAGAAAACGAATTTCCTAAATATTCGCGTTCGAGAAAAAAATCAATGATGAAAATAACTGCGGCAGGTGCAAAAAAATTGAGACGAAAGCCAGCCAACGTTATAACAGTTGTTGTCTGCAATCTGTTTCGTGATATTGAGTTCCAACTCGAATATCGATATACAGTGTGTCCCACTTACCATGCTCACCATGGGTATCTTTTTAACGGTGAGAGATACGCGGTCGGTTAAATGACACCAAATGTGGAGTTTGTCAAGGCCAACTATAATGTGGAAAAATATTTTGAATAAATCTATTTGTTTTTGTTTTATACGCAAAAAACAGGTTTTTATCTTTTTATCATTTTCATGTCTCCTCCGTAACTTCTTTATTTATGAAAATATTCAAATAGGAATTTCACATTCTCATAGCAGTTTTTCAAAGTGATTTCGAAAAAAATATGAAATTTATACCAACTCTTCTAGAATTTGAGATATCAGCACCAACTTTAGTTTTTCAAATGTAGGTCATAGCTCACTATGACTTAGTTACAAATAACTTTTTTTTCTCCTACAAATGATTTTTTTTTAATTTCAACAAAAATTCCATAACTCCGATTAACTTAAAATTTGACAGGTGTTCATAATTTCGGTGACAATACATTATGGAATTTTTGTTGAAAAATGGCTGCTCCAAGATGGCGGATAAGATTTGGTCCGATTCCATTCAAAATTGGTAAGTGGGGATTTTGAAGTCGGAGATTATGATTTTTTTGTTAAAATCCATAAATTCAAGATGGCGGCTTCCAAATAATTTTTTGTTTTTGTATAAATGACGATAATTCCGTTGTTATCAACACAAAACTATTACTGCGACATATCATCTGTAAGAGAAAAAAAAGTTATTTGTAACTAAGTCATAGTGAGCTATGACCTACATTTGAAAAACTGAAGTTGGTGCTGATATCTCAAATTCTAGAAGAGTTGGTATAAATTTCATATTTTTTTCGAAATCACTTTGAAAAACTGCTATGAGAATGTGAAATTCGGAAGTTACGGAGGAGACAAGAAAATGATCAAAATCTGTTTTTTGCGTATAAAATAAAAACGAATGGATTTCATCAAAATATTTTTTCACATTATAGTTGGCCTTGACAAACACCACATTTGGAGTCATTTAACCGACCTCGTATCTCTCACCGTTAAAAAGATACCCATGGTGAGCATGGTAAGTGGGACACACTGTATATTATCATTAAAAGTTTTTCCGATATGATGCCAACTTTCTGAAAAACACGGATGTATAAAGATAGATAAATTTCATATCATTTTTCCTTATAACTTCAGTTCAAAAACGAAAAAAACTATAATGTTTGTTATGCGAGTAAAACTCGCACTCGCCCAATTTTTTTTTAGGTAAACTGCAATACCCTCCGAAAAAGTCCCGCAAACAGATTGAAAATGAGCAGAGGCAGGCAGAAGAGAAAAGCAAAGCCCTTGAAACGGCGAACATGTTCGTTGATGTCGAGGATCTTTTGTCGGGACGCTATCATCAGAGGCGAATGGAGAAAAAGTTGAAAATAGCGAAGGAAAAATCCATGTGCAGGAAATTCGAACTCTTGAAATGGGAAGGTTGGTATAGGTTTTATATTTTATGCTAATAAAACTGGGAAAAAATATAAGCATCATAAAAATAAAAAATAAAACTACGAAAATAGTATATTATGTAACAAGTGTAATAAACGTCCTTTTAGTAACGAGTATTTTAAGCACGAGCGGAGCAGAGCGGAGCGAGTGTTCAATATACGAGTGTCTAGAAGAGTTTATAAACGCGTTACATACTATGCTTTTTCTACGAACTCCGAAAATTACATAAACATACCTGCTATTCCTGCTAACCTACAAAATAATTCGAAAGGAATGGGAATTGAGAACATAATACATGCAACTGCATGCAACCAGCGAGACACGTATTAGTGATATTGGTTGTAGATGTGTCCAGTCCATTGCTTACTAACCTTTGTTTCACGTTCATTGTCATGCTAAGCGCAGAATAAATAAATTGTTCTCAGAGATGGATGCTTCATTTTTACACTTCTTGGAGATATGCAAGTACCAGAACATTCTCTTCGATTTCACTTTTGTCTACATTTCGCATATATTTTTAATGAAGAATTGATGCAAACGAATATTGTTTGAATAATTCTCATACAAAATTTGAAAATAACAGTTGACAGTTAATACAATTGACAGGCCAGACATGTCTCGAATTACTGAAGCTGTGTTTAATGAACTGTGTTGCCATGGTAATGTGTTTAAGAAATCGTGTTGCCATGGTAACGTGTTTAATATTTTGAATAAATCACAGATCGACAATCCGTGATTAATCGATCATTTAGCGTGGTACATATCCGTACGCTAAATGCCATTTCAGTTATGTGAGTAGAAAAACACTCTTTTGGCTGAAGTTGTTCTTTGAGGACCACTCTGTATCAATGAATATGTTGATTTTCATATCGAAGACCGGAACCTTTGGCATGATAATACACTACAATAGGCAATTTATTAGGTAATCTAGAAGATAAGGTGGACACACTTGAAAAGTCAGGAATATATGAAATTAGTTGTAATGATTGTGATAAAACATAAATATAGGCCAAACCAGGCGTCCCATAAAAACAAGGTTCAAAGAACACTTAGCACATTTGAAATATGGCAGGTTAAATAAATCGTGTGTAGCCGAACACATGTCCAATCACAATCATAAGACACATATTAATAACCTCAAATTAGTGAAGCAAGTTAATAATGTTAGAAAATTAGATGCAGATGAAACCTTACTAACCTTAGAGATATTTGAGAATAGTAATAGAGTAATGAATAAGGATAATTGAGCTATTCCCTTCAGCCATCTGTATAATATAACATGTGAACTCAAACATGAATAACATTAACAGGAAGCAATGCTATTGTGTCCGTTCAGAAGAATGCAAGCAGATTCCTTGATTTTTCCCTTCTGGTTGTTATTTTCTTCTCCAATGATTTCAATGTTATGTTATTCCCCGCGAGATTAACCCGCCGAGTTGAGGCTTCGCACCCTTTCGTGGTCATTTTGGAGATCTGCAGAACATCTATTTCCAAAGACTCGTTCATCCAACGAACAGCGAGGCTCTGGAACACATTGCCAAGGGAGGTGTTCCCCGAGGCATATAACCTCCAGAAATTTAAGAAGAACACCAATTTCTACTTTATTTCCCTTGTTCTCACGATGTTCTCTGAACATTACAGAATATCCCTTTTCGTGGGAACCAGAACAAGAAAAAAAATCATCTCTTTCATTCTGTTCGTTCAGTTTCAGTTATTACTTTCTGAGGATATTTGGGATTTGTTCCAAATATCCTCAAACTTACTTCTGCAACTTTCGAATATCTTTATGAAGGAGAAAGTTTCAGGGTGAAACCTATAGTGAATCACCCTGTATATTATCAAAACGTCAAATCTTATCATTTCAATATAAGAAGAAGAAAAATAGTGTTATCTGCCTATATCTCGGCAAAAATGTTCACGCCACTTTTCTTCCGCTACTTGTGGGAATTTGTATTCCAATTTTTTTTTACCATTAGGGTTCGCGCTGGAAAGAAAAATGTTGGAAAAACTGGAAGCCATCCTGCCCAAGGACCCCGACTGGCAGAAACACCACCTGCGCAAGCAGGCAGCCAAAGACACCAACAAAATGATCAAGCAGAAAGATCTACAACGCATAGTATATTATTTGACGGAGGGCATAGGTCCGGAGTACGTGGCAGCATACGACAGAAGCTTTTTCGCTTGCTTCAGATCTAAGATACCGCCAAAACTCACCAAACTGAAGGAGTTCAGAGCGATGGTTGCTGCAGATGAGAGGGACGTCATGAAGCTGTACTGTATCTTCATGAGGAAGCATCTGCTGACTTATGTACTTCAGGATCCAGCGGAAATGAAGAGGCAAGTTACACAGTGTGTCGTTTTTTTATTATTTTGAATAAAAACGTTTTTCTGCAACCGACACAAAAGTCGTCCATTTTGATACCAAAATTAGCTCTTAAATTGACGTTTCTATTACTGTCACAAAAATAGGTATGTTGCTAGGCAACATATTTAGTTCCTAGGAGCTAAAGTTGAATTTTAGTTCCTAGGAGCTAAAGTCGAACTTTAGCTCCTAGGAACTAATAAGGATCTACTGGACGTCATCAAGAATAAACAACATTGTGACGGTTGGTTATTTGGGTTGAGACGCATACCTGATTTGTTTCCGATTTCAGCAGATTTGGCATTTCATAACCATGCTGGAGATATAAATACACCCTATTATAGTTTAGTATTGAAATTATAAACATCTCAGTTAAGTATTTTTGTTTTGATCAGGGAAGCCTTCAAGATTCAAATACTTGCGTGATCTGTATTTCATTCGTTATTCTCGGGATGGATAACTTGTTTTTGTATAATCACGGCAAGCAATAGTTTTTTTGTGTCAAACAACGATATTTGTTTAGCTTCATTTGATTATCAAGTCGAACACTGTGTAGTATGGAGAGGAATAAATAATCACTACTAGCATTGTTGATATGCTCACTAACCTAACATTTTCCACGTATTGTTCCTATAGCTGGCACTGGCGCGGTTTTTGGCATTAGAGCACCTGGTCCATACACAAGTATGTCACTCTGTGGTTGTATTTATATTGAAACTACAATTCGAACATCCTAGAAAACCAAACCTGCTGTTAATGCAGGTAGAATATTCTCACCACATGGATTATTTGTCAATATTTGTTGCATTGCATACATTAGGCACGGCATTGGTGGTTACTTCACATGTTTATTTCGAGTCAATTGTTTCGGTTGCAGAAAAAATAGCATATTTCATTCGGATCAAAAGTGACTTTGTTCGACTCGCAAATTTTGCTTTCGCTCGGCTTCGCTAAACGCTCCGCCTCGCAAATGCAAAATTCGCTTGTCAAACAAAGTGTCACTTTTGATCCTAATAAAACAATCTACTATTATATTAGCTTCACCTGTATGTATGTAACCGCCCAGATAACACAGGATATCCTGTGGATATCCTCTACATGTCCAATTTCGGTCGAGATATCCCTGGATTTGAAGTGGACATCCATGAGATATCCATCGCAGGATTTGAAATGGATATCATTCAGTAGATATCTTAAGGATATCCATCAGATCAGATCCACAGCAATTTTGAATGTACTCAATTTGATGTATATCTCATGGATATATTCCTGAAAGATATTCAAGGGGTACCTTTGAAGGATGTCTTATGGATATCATCGAAGGATCGAAGGATATTTTATGGATATCTCTGAAGTATGTCTTATGGATATTCCTGAATGATGTTCTATGGATATTTCAGAAGTATGCCTTATGGGATATTCCTGGAGGATATTTCATGGATATCTTTGAAGGATGTCTTATGAATATCATCGAAGGATATATCATGGATATCTTTGAACGATATCTTATGGACCTCTTTGGAGGATATCTCATGGATATTCTTGAAGGTAATCCATCTGGATGTACAGGTTTTCACGTTTTGGACATCCATCGGACGTCCATAAGATATTTCTTGGATATAAAATTGATGTCCATAGTACATACATACCATTCATGAAGAATCTCCAGTGGATAGCCATTGGATGTCCTTGTGTTATCTGGGCCGATTGATTTGAAATTAGGCATGTCTTCATAATTCTGGTGGCAATGCATCTTGAAATTCTTGTTAGACAAAAAAACAAAATAGCGGCTCCAAAATGACTGACGAGTTTTGTAATTATATCCAATTCTATTCAAAATTGGTATCTGGAGATTATGATTCCTTCGTCAAAATTGATTAATTCAAAATGGCGGATTCGATATGGCGGACGAGTTTTGTAATTATGATCCGAATCTATTCAACATTTGTATCTGGGGGTTTTCGGGGTTGAAGATTATGATTCTCTCGTCAAAATTTGAAAATTCGAGATGGCGGATCCAATATGGCGGATCCAATATGGCGGAGAGTTTTGTAATTATTATCCTTCGGCTCCGGGCTGTCACCGAGGAACCTGCTTTTGATTATTATAAAATTACAACGTCTATTATCAATGTCCTAAGGATATTACTGCTGAAAATAAATTTTGCATTGTGCAATTATCAATCACTTTGACAACACGATCGACTATGACAACTTCAAATTATTTCCCGCCGAATATCCCTCGGACATTGACCAATGCTTATCATTTTCGAGCGGTTACCGACTAAGGTAGTCAAGAATGCTTTTGGGTGTATGATAAATTGACATTCATCATACAGGGCGTGGAAAGAAATTCTGAATTGAGACTCTATCACGAATCTGGGTAATCACGATATTTTTTTACTACATTTGTGTATAAAAAGTTATTGTATACCTTGGTATATGATTACTATTTTTGTACTAACGAGTATTTTTCAAAAAGTGCAGTGATGCACTACAAAATCATTGGTAATTTGCTAAGCAATTCATTCTATTTTTAGGTTGCAGTTTCATACATTCCCAATAGATTTTCCAATTCTCCTAATAAGAGCACCAGTACCTTGGCATACTCAGTATTGCTTGAGCACACAGTTCATGGAAAAACACTATCACAATGGTAATATAGTTGTGAGAAGTATCCGGGATCTTTGGTATAAAAAGTAAGATTTTTTTCATTTCTTAAATAGAATCATCACTCAAATACCTTACAATTCCATATTTGTTGAAATTTTTTTGGTCGATTTTTAGGTGCTAAAATCATCAATTATTCCACAATAAATGTTCAAATTCAGTAGGGGCAGACCATAGCACAGTTGCCATTTGTTGAAATACGATTCGGAATTTCAGAAATGTTAGTTATTCGATAATTCATAAATTCTCAATTAGCAATAAAAATTCAATTGTCTCAAAATGTTCCCTTATGATTTGTGGCTTAGTACTTATAATAAATTTGTGTGAATAATAATTATATTAATTCACACTATAGAGGACATTTGAATCGGTGAACGTGACAACCACGGCGAACGAATTGTGGGCGTGGTCTTGTCAGTTCTCAGCATTCAGCACAATGTTGCCAAGTCTCCAACATCCATATGATATGTTGTTATGGAGAATAAGAAATATTCGGACATGCTGGTTGCTCGATAAACTCAAGAAGGAACAATAACATCATGGGTTCCTCCTATTATGTTTTATTCAACGACATGACTCTAACATCTTTTTTATAAATAGATTATGATTGGTGACTCGACAACCTTGCTTCATGAGTGGAAATTGAAGATTATCTGACCAATTACAAAACAGCATAAAAACAAACGTCACCATTTATTAGACGTAATTCTTGTTGTTGTTGTTCTTTATTACCCCAAGAAACATATTTGTTTATAATAGGGATACATAAACATATGATATATATATATATATATATATATATATATATATATATATATATATAAAACAATAAAAAAAAAACTAATTAACAAGTTATGTCAATATAACATAATAATTAAAATAAAACCATTCCAAGTATTCAAATGAGAATAAATTGCTCCGTTTATTGTGTCATGAGTATATATTTTTTCATATTGACTTTGAATCTTGTTTCATCATCAATATGTTTCAAATCATAAGGTAATGAATTATATAAAATGATTCCGTTGTAGAATACTGATCGTTTGCCAATAATGGAGTTATATGGGTTTGCTATTAATGAATTCAACTGTCTCGTTGCATGAGTATGAATTGTATTTACTTCAGTAAAGTTCAAGTTGGATATTTTTATTTTTTTTCTCACAAAATGGATGAAAGAACAAATTTTCATTTTATATAAAGATGATAAATTCAACAGATTTTTTGGTTTGTAAAGATTAATAGTTGGTTCCAGGTAATGTAAATTGTAAATGCACTTAATTGTTTTATTTTGTAATTTCATTAATGGTTTCAAATGTGATATACTTGTGCTTCCCCAAATTGATATTAAATATTGTAATTTTGAGTAAATCAGACAGAAATATATATTCTTCAAATATCTAAGAGGAATGAAATTTCGAATTTTGTATAAAATGCCAGTAATTGGATTGAGCTTTTTTCTCAGGTGATCTATATGTTTAGTCCACGATAATTGTTCATCAATATAAAGACCTAAGAATTTTGTAATATCTAAATATTTTATGGCTTTCTGGTTGAAAAATATTGTTGTTTTCGACATATCAGTTTTTCTTTTTGAAATATACATATACGTAGATTTGTCATAGTTAAGGGTCAGCTTATGAATTTGTAGCCAAGATGATATCATTTTCAAGTCACTTTTTATATCATCAACTATATCGTTTTACATAAAACAAGCGTGAGAAGTGTTTTAAAAATCAATTTAGGTTCCTAACGACACAGTGGAGTAATTGAATGCCAATAATTCATTATCAGTCCACTCGCCCATTGTTTCGTAACATTCCCTTAGAATTTGTGTTTTTGAACAGATTTTTACGTGCGCTACTCTATATCCTGTGTGAAGAACTTGGCAGTCTTGAAGGTTTGATTTGAATATATCCGGCTCGAAGGACCAATGTGTTCGATGCTTGATAGTTAGTAGACTATATTTGTATGGCTATATGATATATGATAATTGATATAAGAATTGCAATTCGAATTGCAAATTCATCGATTCTGTTGATAAACCTATATATACAAGTATCAAACTATTATATAAAGTCCAAAAAAGTATTGAAAAAGGATTATTTTTAATTCAAATTTCATTCTTTGAGGTATGACCAAATGCACATCCTGCCCCTATCGACCCTCCTCGAGACCGACGAGCCCCTCTCCCCCGCCATTTTCGAACGCCGCGTCAACGACATTTGCGCCGAATCACGGAAACTTCTGCTGGAACAGTGGCTGCCCGCGTGCGCGGACATCTTTCTGAAGTACAAGGCCGCGTGGAGGCCGTTGGTCCCGCGCTCGTCCTCCGATTCCACGGAGATCATCGAGGAGTTCTTCGACTGCGTGAATATGCTGTTGGCGAAGGAGTTAAGGGGATTGGTGATGAGGAGTTTGGAGCACTTCGCTAATCTTTTTCAAAGATTCAAGGTATTCTTTGTTTATACTTTTCAACTAAACAACAGCAAGAAGCATAGTTGTTTACAATAGGGGTACATAAACAATATACATAATGTTATACATACAATTATGAAATAATAATCAGATATAACAAGTAAACAAAAAAATTAATGCAAATAATCATGCAATATCAACCTTGTCTTTTATGAGTAGGTATTCGAATAAGAAATGAAATTATCAAAGACTCTGAAGCAGATATTTTTTCAAGTTAATTTTGAATGTAGTTGTTTCCTGTATATTCCTCAATTGACTTGGTAATGAGTTGTATAGAACGATTCCTGTATGAAAAAGGGATTGTTTGCCAATATTTGACCTATAAGTATTTGCTATTAGTAAATTTGATTGTCCTGTTTCATGATTATGTAATGAGTTAATTTCTATGGAATTTAAATTCGAAATTCTCAATTCATATAGTACAAATTGAATAAAACAACATATTTTAAGTTTGTATAGTGATATCAGATCTAATAAATTTCTAGTATCTAGTATCTAGTAGTGAATAAGCAGATCTTGCCTCTCGATTCTTATTTCAATGAATTGCAAACTGATGAATTTCCAGTTTCTACTCAAATTCAAATAGCTTCAATAAATCGAGCTATTTTATCATTGCATAAACAATGGTTTTTCCGTCAATTCTACTTTCATTAAACTGAATGCGTAAGTATGACCAATAATATACTTAAAATGTATCAACACAAGAAATATTTGTTCACCAACTTGAAAGGAAGGTTACATTTTGGCAGGAAAAATGTTTAGAATTAATAACGATTAAATAACTTAGTTGGAAATAGAGGTCACTGATTTTTTTTTTTGAATTGACTCGGCCGTTACTTGATGGAAATCCATGATAAATGTAAAAACTTCACAAACGATAAGATTTCCACAAAATTTATTGAACACACGACATGTTTCGCTAACACAGTAGCTTCGTCAGGTGATATACTGGTACAATGAACTAAACTAACGTTGGCTTGCTTAACTTTTATATATCTTACCTACCCAACCTGAAGGATTAGTTACCTGTGGACCGGTACGATAAACCTCCATTTTCGGAAATTAGGCACAATATCTACATTAAATTACGGTATACCGGATTAACTTGAAAGAGTTGATATCAAATACATATTATTACTTCCAATTCCCGAAGTCACTCGAAATCATGAACTATACCAAGTATCGATGGCAGGATGGTAGTATACAGTCTCCATATTTCCCCGTTCGTTCTCTGGCATTGTCTTTCCTTGTATACGGAAATGTCCGAAGGCAATCATACATAGAAGTCAGTCATGATTTTTGTCGGTTACTCAACCAAAAAGATACATATAATGAAGAAGATGGAAAGCCCTTGAGTAACCGACAAAAATTATGACTGACTCCTAGGTATAATGGGGAAGTTACCTATATTGAGGTTTTTATCCAACTGTGGAGTTTGTAAAAAAGTAATATATACCTATTTCTTATTTTTTTTGTAAGATCAAATTTCACTTCAGAAAAAAATAAATAAAAGATGATCTTGGATCCTCCACCGTTCCTATGACTTACTTTCTGAAAATCCACATTTACACAGAGCTAAAATACGATTCCCTGTGCCAGAACGACGTTGCCGACATAATCGATATGTCTGGATTTCCGGAAATTGTTCTTTGAATGCATACCTAATAACTTAAATCATAACAGCAATTGGATATAATAGGTTCTTACTAAATCAATCCTTCTTTGTCGAGTATTATGAATAATTCCCATAAATCTGTCATTGGCTGAATGAAGTTGATTACTAATAAAGATAAATTTCATAAATTTCGATAATTTGCGACAGTATCTATAATTTCTCACTATCATTATATTACAATATGTTATTCATAACTTGTTAGTCATTTTTTCGCTAATGAATTCGTTCCTCAATAAAACGGTATACCGGATTAACTTGAAAGAGTTGATATCAAATACACTTACTAAGAAAACAAATTTAACAGTGGTGAACTATTAAGGTCTAATTGATCATTAAGTAAAATGTCAAAATTTTTGAGTTTGTTGATTTCTAATGATTCAAAATGATTGAGTTTCAGTCCTTTATTTTCTACGTGCAGAATTTCGAAATTATCATCAAAACTATGGTTGACGTATGTTGACTTTGTTTTCTTTTTCATAAAATTCATCTTATGTTCATGAATGCGCTGATTTTTGCTCACCAATATGAAATGATTTGTCAAAATTTAATAATTAATGTTTTCAAATATTTTATTATTCATCAGTTTATTATAATTGTATAGTTTTAGGTATTATTGTTAACTATACTTCCTTATACCAGAACTTGATTCTGACTGGAAGTAACATTTTCAATAAATAAATAAATAAATAAATGAATAGATAAATAAACGTACGACCTGTCTGACCGATATATACCTTAGAACAAGATCCACATTTGAGTTAGCATACCCCTGATTTTTCGAATTTAGAAGTTTTGTCTTTATTATTTTTGATAAAATAACACGTTGGGACGGTTTATCAAGAATAATAAAGACAAAACTTCTAAATTCGAAAAATCAGGGGTATACAAACTCAAATGTGAATTTTGTTCTAAGGTATATATCGGTCAGACAGGTCGTACGTTTAATCAGCGCATTCACGAACATAAGATGAATTTTATGAAAAAGAAAACAAATTCAACATACGCCAACCATATATTAGAAGAAAACCATATTTTTGATGATAATTTCGAAATTCTGCACGTAGAAAATAAAGGACTGAAACTCAATCATTTTGAATCATTAGAAATCAACAAACTCAAAAATTTTGACATTTTACTTAATGATCAATTAGACCTTAATAGTTCACCACTGTTGAATTTGTTTTCTTAGTAAGTGTATTTGATATCAACTCTTTCAAGTTAATCCGGTATACCGTTTTATTGAGGAACGAATTCATTAGCGAAAAAATGACTAACAAGTTATGAATAACATATTGTAATATAATGATAGTGAGAAATTATAGATACTGTCGCAAATTATCGAAATTTATGAAATTTATCTTTATTAGTAATCAACTTCATTCAGCCAATGACAGATTTATGGGAATTATTCATAATACTCGACAAAGAAGGATTGATTTAGTAAGAACCTATTATATCCAATTGCTGTTATGATTTAAGTTATTAGGTATGCATTCAAAGAACAATTTCCGGAAATCCAGACATATCGATTATGTCGGCAACGTCGTTCTGGCACAGGGAATCGTATTTTAGCTCTGTGTAAATGTGGATTTTCAGAAAGTAAGTCATAGGAACGGTGGAGGATCCAAGATCATCTTTTATTTATTTTTTTCTGAAGTGAAATTTGATCTTACAAAAAAAAATAAGAAATAGGTATATATTACTTTTTTACAAACTCCACAGTTGGATAAAAACCTCAATATAGGTAACTTCCCCATTATACCTAGGAGTCAGTCATAATTTTTGTCGGTTACTCAAGGGCTTTCCATCTTCTTCATTATATGTATCTTTTTGGTTGAGTAACCGACAAAAATCATGACTGACTTCTATGTATGATTGCCTTCGGACATTTCCGTATACAAGGAAAGACAATGCCAGAGAACGAACGGGGAAATATGGAGACTGTATACTACCATCCTGCCATCGATACTTGGTATAGTTCATGATTTCGAGTGACTTCGGGAATTGGAAGGTTTCTGCCGCCTGGTGTGTGATGAGAACTCGACCTCCCTGCCGATTGATCGACGGATGTTCCGTTAGCTCAATGGGCGAGTACACCTTTAACTCAAACCATGTTTATAATGACCTTTTTATACATAAATAATGATTGACGATATAATTCGATCGAAAAATTAACTGGAACGTTTTATTTTTGGTCATGAATAATAGTACCTTCTGAAAGCGGACCCTCTTATGACGTAGAAACCTCACCTCGCCATAGTTGAAAGAAAATACCAAACGCCCGACGGAAACTGAGGCAACTGATATATTAATTCTTTCAACTGTGATCTTGCGCTAATTCACTCTGTCAGAAATCATGTATCATTCATCTCTGTCTGTAATAGTCTTGTTTCAGTATCAGGGTTTTGACGTCACATCATCGCCTCGTTTTCAGAGGTCCGAAAAATCGGGGATTTCAATATTTTTTTATAAAACGTAGGGAGCTCACAGCAAGAAACGGTTTGCGGTGGTGAGCTAGTTTGGGTGAGTTCTATCGAATTATGAAATAAAAGTTTTTTGTGATATAAGCCCATTGGCAAAGCGTTGGGCATGTAACCCCCAGAGGTTGTGAGTTCGACTCTCACACGGGGCGGTGGAGTTTTTTCATTTTCCATTGTCACTCGAAATTAGGGCTTTCCATCTTCATCATTACAATTATTATACCTTGCCTACTAGATTTTTCTATTATGAAGAGAAATACCTTCTTTTCTCCTAGGATGGCAATGATTTCGGCGAAGAATACGCAGATTTCGCCCTTCCCAACCTCCCAATCATAACTTTGATCTTGAAACCGCACCTAGGGACGGATTCGCTAACCCTCAGCCCTACCCTGGAAGATATCCAGGAGATGCTCACCAGATGCTTCAAGCGCATTTTGGATGTCAACGTCAAAGTCAGCCGCATCGAGATGTTGATGTTTTCCGAGTTTTCCAAATCGGAGAAGTATTTGTTCTCGGTGCGGGAAAGCGAGGGCCCTGTACAGGCAGTTTTTCGAAAAATGATAGACTCGATAACGCCCAACTATGTGGGGCCTAAGAAATACCTGGAGGCCTACACGAAGTACCATTACATACTAGACGGTGGTCTGGAAAAAGAACTGGAAGATTTTTTCTCCATTGAGCCGTTCCCTGTCTTGAAAGATTTCGCTAGGAAAATAAAAAAATACGAGGATATCAAAGAAGAAGTGATCGATTTGAGGCGCAACGTGCCTCTGAACTTTTTCAATTTAGACTGCAGCGAAGTGAACGAGGCGTTGTACGCCATCTTGGACAATTTGAGGAAGAAAACGGTGAACTTTTTCGTGCAAGAGAATCACAATCATAACAGGAGGATATGCGACACGTTCGATGAGATGTCTCAGAAGGTGAGCGGCAGTCCTGATACCGTGGCTGATCTGGTCGCGTTGCAGAACTACGTCGTCGAATCCAGGGATGTCACGATGTACAACTTGAAGGAGCAGATCAGGAAGACGGCCGAATATGTGGTTTTTCTCATGGATTATGCTCATCTTCCAGGTTTGCACAGTTATTTCTAAAATTGGATTATCAGGTAATTATACTATACAGGGTGCTTCAAAATTGGATGTAGATTCGATACTTGCAGATAGAGGACACTTTAATGGTTTCGAATCACCCACCACTCATGGGTTTACCGTCTTTTATAACTAAGATACAGGACGTTATCTTGATTTTGGCAAAATCATCATCTGGTAATAATTTTTTAACCACTTTGTATAATCTATTCATACTTGGTAGAAATATTCCACTTATGTTACACATCAGAACAAAATAAAAATCAAGATCAGAATCCAGGTCCGTCTTAAGGAAAAACCGAAAACTTTTTTATTTTAAAAACAACACTCTACATATATGGCAAAATTTTGTGGATCTGTTTCGATATTTGGAAATTGCGGGAAAAAATGAATATAGTGACCTACTTTTTACGAGCGCTCAGCCAATTCGGCAGATGCATTATTATAATATTTTGTAATAGATATTCAGCTCCATCTCGAGGCATTTTCATTGAATTCCTAATTCAAAATCCAATTTTAATACAAAACATAACAAAGTTCAACATCATGAGAGTCAGATTAAGGTGAACTATTGATAGATTTGATTGTTTGGCAGAATAACTTGTCTATGGTTTTAGAAATGTTTGATGACTCATTTCATTATTTACTATTAATTTATGAGCTGCGGAAAAGTAGGCTGTGCAAAAAAGTTTCAAATTCTGACAGTTCATAATCACTAGTGTCATATTATTGGTAACGTTGAGGTTATTGTGTTATGGCATAATTATGAACACTTTGAAATGTAACAACGCAATACAAGCTCCAATAATCATCTTAACGTTACCAATAATATCACAGAAGTGATTATAAACTGTCAGAATATCAGATTTATTTGCACAGCCTACTTTACCGCAGCTCCTGAATTAATAGTAAATAATGCAATCAATGAGTCATCAAAAATTTCCAAAACCATAGACAAGTTATTCTGCCAAACGATCAAATTTATCAATAGTTCATCTTAATCTGACTCTCATGATGTTGAACTTTGAAGACTTGTTATTTATATGTGAAAAAATTGTTTCAATTAAGATTTCAATAAAAATGCATCAAAATGGAGCTTAGTATTTGAAAAAATAACAATAAAACATCTGTAAAATTGGATGCGCGCTCCTAAAAAGTGAGTTACTATATTCATTTTTTCCCGCTCTTTTACAATATCGAAATAGATCTACGCCATTTTGCCATACAGAGTGTTGTTTTTGAAATTGAAGAAGTTTTCTGTTTTTTCTCAAGACGGACCTGAATTCTGATCCCCATTTTTATTCAATTTTAATGGGTAATATAAGTGGAATATTATTACCAAGTATGGATACATTATACAAAGTGGTTCAATAGTTATGACCCAATGAAGATTTTGCCAAAATCAACGGTAGACACATCAATGGGGGGTGATTTGGAATCATCAAAGTGTCCTCTATCTACATCAGGTATCGTATGTACATTTGAATCTGAAACACCATGTATATGCAGATGATACTGTACTTTTATACGAAAACAGAAACCCCATCAATCTAGAAAATATTATTAACGAAGATTTGAAAAAGATTTAAAAATGGCTTTATTCAAACATTTTATCTATTCGAATCCCTGAGGGGGCAGAAGGACGATCTAGCCTTCATAGCCATCTAGTGGCTTAAGTGCAAGGTGTATAGGTAGATTCATCAATCATACCTTGCAACTTAGTCGTGCATATAGACCCCTACGTCTATATGCTTACAGAAAAGACATCCATGTCAGATTCTGTAGACTATCGCAACACCTGTAATTCTCAAAGTGGTTTAATGTTCCACTAACAGATGGTAATAAACCTAGAATCTCAAGACTAAGAGATTCTAAGGAAATTTCGTGAATCGATTGTCAGCTGATGCAAGACAGACTGTTTCGACTTGCCATAAGTCTCATCAGTTGCACTGGCCAGCTGACAATCGATTCACAAAGGGTACCTCCATATATCAATTAATACCAATAAAACTGAAAATATAATATTCCATCAGAAAAATGAACAGAATATTAGTGTCAATCTCCAAATTAAAAATAAAGTATTGAAAAGAACTACACAAATAAAGTATCTTGGTATGTGGTTTAATGAAAAATTGAAATGGGACAAGCATTATAGAGGTTCTGATACAAAATAAAATATCTCCAATCATTGTGAAGTGCTTAGAAATAGCATCAATTTCGACCACCAGTATTGTTATTGTGTTTTTCAGTGGAAAACTGATGATTTCATCCATTTTGGATCCTGCGAATCACTCGACTCTGCGAATAATCCCGATTACTTACATTTAGCTGACTCTGCTATCCATGTGATCAACTCTAGTCTTATCTGAAATATCCATTTCCATTTATCTCAATACAATGAAGGCGTTTTCTCTATTTTTCCGATTCAGTCGAGGACATCCAGCTGAACAGCCGGGTATTCCTGTGGCCCAAGGACATGGAATCAGTCATAGAGGTGGCCATCCAACGGTTGAACATGAAGCGGGATCAGGCTGAGACGGTGCTGAGAAACAAGAGGACGGCGTTCGATGCGAGATTGAAGAAGCACGAGAAGCTGCTCATCGCCTTCAAGAAGAAGGATCCGCCCATTTTGACGATGGAAGAGATGGAGGAGAGCGTCGCTGCTGTGGAGAGTATCGTCCAAAAGTTAGAGGTGGGTCAGAAGTGATTCTTCTGAGTAAGTAACTTTCCTCTAGTTATTGCTGTGCTTGTGATATTCTAGAGCTATTCCCAGAATTTTTTTCTGCTTTCGAACCTTCAAAGATATACCAGGTTATATGTATAACAGAGCAGTTCCATTTTTCATAGCAGTTGACCAAACAACTTTTTACGAATGGTGGACAAAACCACTGTGAAATAATAAGATACGCTCGATTCTTGCCCTGCAGCGCCTTATTTCATCTTCATTTTCTTGATGTATTAATTTTATGTTTTTGTTCAACGTTTATGTATATTCAGAGTACAACCGCTCTGACCTAAATAAGGAGTTAGAACTTCAGGAGTCAGTCAAAAATAATTGTGGAGTTTGAATCCTCACCTTTGGTTAACATTGACTAGGGTCCCTTGATGTAAATTGACGTATTCGTCATCTTAACAGGGTACGGACAGATCCTCGTCCCGTCTCACTCTAAAGTGTTTGTGAAACAGTTATATGTTTCCATCTTTATTCATTTCTGGGGATAAACACTAGATTCCTGACATTTGTTGTTTTTTAGGTTATATTGAGGACATTGGCGTATCATACATAATTTACACATGTAATTTCTCATTCAACTCTACATATTATATCCAAATGATGATGATAATTTTCGATTTTTTGATTTTTCAACTCCAGCATAATCTTTGTGAGGCAGTGAGTAAATTTTTCTGGAAGTTTAAAACGTTTCACCAAATGGGACTGTTCTTAGGCAGTACCTATCAATAAATGAATTTTGATTTCAGACTAAGCCTTAAGCACTAATGTGCTCATATGTCATGCGTGCTGTATATATATTGGTAATCATTTTTGCAGTTTTTCACGAACACTTAATATTTCCTGAATGTAGGTATAATTTAGTAAATGGTAGAGCATATGCCCTGTTGCAGAACGAGTCAGTAGATTAATATTAAAATACTTAAAAATCCTGCCTAATCAATCAGCACTGAGATGACCATTTCGCGCACCCTCACCTTGGTGTATGAATACCGGTCTAATTAGTGTGAGAACGTACTGCGACAATGGCTTTTCACGAACTTGAGAAAAGGCCGCACTATATTGTTTCTTCCACAAACTGAAAACCGCTATCTTTAACTCGTTATGTTATTTATGCACTAGCGGGCCGTAAAGTGCACTTTACCGCCCGGTTTTGCGGGCGTTAAGTAGCACTTTACCGCCCGCGGGCTCATTATGGCCCACGGGCCGTAAAGTACACTTTACCGCCCGCTGTTCTCAGTCACCTTATATCCACATATCAATTTATGAAAAACCTATGATCATATTCCTAGATTCTGATATATCCAGCGGTACATCATAAACTTCTTCTTCATCCGATTCCATAGTCTCGCTATTATTATCATTAATTTTACTTTTCAATCAAAGAATGACAATTCAGCTCGTTTATTGGATGTATTGCTATGGACAACAACCATCAGATTGATTGACAACGTCAAAATATGTTAGGTTTATATACTGGGTATGCATATTGTAAAATTCTGAAGAATGAATCTCTTCTAGAGCTGAAAGAGTTTTACTATATTACGATGATTGCACTATTCGTACGATAATTTTCATATGTAAATCATCCATGAACATTACGCTTCTCTTGATTACTGAATTTATACGTAACAAATTAAATTCTGGGGAATATTAGTATATCGAAAGTTGTAGTCATTACTTATGAGTCAGAAAATAAACCACTAGTGCATAAAATTTTGTATGTATCTCGTGCGTGAAATGCGTTTATGGCCTTCAGCGTGTAATGGCCCTCGGCTAGCGCCATCGGGCCATTATTTACGCCACAGGTCATAAACGCCTACTTTACGCCCTTGATACATAAATAACTATTATGTGATTGTTCGTGAAAGACAATGAAAACCGCATTAGATATATGCTTTAAGTACACCTGTTCTGTGTACGGAGTTTAAGGAAAATTACCACATCCAACGACGACGATCTCTGAAAGGGCCCTTTCTTCAACGCCTGCAGCCGAACTAGAACCTTCGAGAGCCATATTTCTTCGGTAAGTCTCTTAGTGCTGAACGAACTCTGTACTTTTGCCTACTTATCATTTCTAATCACTTATTGAAAATATCGGTTACTATATGTCCATTTTTCTCTTATATAATCGAGCTTATCGATCTGCAACATGCCCCTTTTTTAATCCTCCATTTTAATCAAAACTGTTTCTACTAAAATGCATTCAAAAACTTGTGGAGTGAATAATTATAGGCCCAATGAGAAAGTATGATATGTGATTTCGTATTAGTTTTACGTCGAATATTTTGTCATGTATTTACCAATTTTCCCCATTCGGTCACTCCACTTTCCATGTTCTAAGTTAATTTGCATTTGATGGAAAGCTGACAAATACAAATTTGCCATCCAACTGATTGTGACGGCCTAACGCAGTACATTTTATCATCCTTCCAAGACAAAATTGAATAATGTCGTATTAAGATAAAGTATGAAATCAAAATTTTGTAGGATCTCTTTTAACGCCTATGAATGTGACGTGACAGCAATGTCATGTCAGGGACGCCAATACACGAAACCAGAGTCACTAGATGATTAAAAGAGAAAGGAGCTATGATCTGTCCGTACCCTGTTAGATGACAAATACGTCAGTTTGCATCAAGGAACCCTAGTATTGACCAGCTCTTTGGTCTCCTCTGAGTGTTTTTCACTGTGTCACATTCATGTCTTATTACAAATTAACGTTCCACTAGAAATGAAGAATTTTATAAGATCTTTTTTTTTCTTAGGAAGATAAGATGGAAGCGGAACAAATAAATGAAGAAGAACAGCTGTTGGATATAGATATTTCCCCATTCATAAATCTGTATAAAATGTTGAGTGTTATCGAACCATACGACAAATTATGGCACACAGTTCTGGAGTTCCATGAAAATTACGATATTTGGTGAGACATTTTTCGATTGATGATAATACCCATTGACACTCGCTTTTTGTTTTGAAAAGTACAATATTCGCGGTTGCCAAGGTCATTAGATGACGTTCTTTCAAATCAGATAAATAATATGATGTATAATGATATGAAAAATATCATATCCGTCTCTTGGATGTTCAACATAAATGGAAAGGAAAGTAGTTGTTTTTTGTTGAATATTCAGAATGATATTATATAGGTAATTTACGTAATGTTTCATCTGAGATAATGCAAATTCTCAGCTTCAGAATTTTTTGGCACATAGGCATATAGCCAGGAAAGTAGTTGTTTCCTATTGAATATATAGAGAAATAATTAATGTTTGCATCACATAGAGAATGCGAATCCGCAATTCATTTGTTTAAATGTATCCAGTTTTTCCATGTTCATAATCGGGTCGATTCTTTTTAAATATAGCAATATGGTTGTGGAGAAGATATTGCTATCACAGCAAGATTCGAAAAGTTAGAATTCTAATAATCGATTTTAGGCAATATGATCTGTCGACATATTGTCAGCTTTCTTGCTTTCTCATCAATTTTGTGCTTGCCATCTCTTAATAATGTTTGAATTTGCAGTGTATTCTTTGTTTTTGCATTACAATTTCGTTTAAGTGTTTGAAAATTTTTGAAATAAGTGATTATAAACATATTGTAACTTCACTTGTGCGATCAATTACTTGAAAATCTTTCCTTGAAGTTTCAATTAATAGAGGAATTATGGGACTACAATTTCGGTATATCATCAGAGACACCAGCCAACTATTTGAGTTGCCTGGAAAGTTTACCAAGCTATTTCGCTTGAATAAGCCAACAACGTGAGTTTTTCTGGTTATATGAATCGGGTACTTTTCAAAAAAAAAAATACGATAATTTTCATCCGGATCTTGGTTGTTTCCTTATTACATGATTGAAACCTTGCACCAATTGCACAAATACAATCTAATTCACCAAATACAAAGAGTTTGTCCATTTGGATAATATTATTTTTATACAGATGTTACAAAATGTTTAGGTCTTCATATTGATGAATGACAATTATGGAATACACATACACAATTTGCGAAACAAACTTAATCCCATTACAGGCATTTTATTCAAAATTTGGAATTCAATTTCTACTAGTTACTTGAAGAGTATTTATGTCTTTCTTTCTTAAATCTATATGGGGAAGTACCAATATTTCACGTTTGAGTCCACTAATGAAATAACAAAATGAAACATTGAAGTGTATTTTCACTATAAATTTTTTAGAACCAAACATGAATTTATGCAAACATAGAGATTTATTAGATCTGATATCACTATACAAACTTAAAATATGTTGTTTTATTCAATTTGTCCTATATAAATTGAAAATTACGAATTTAAATTTCAATGAAATCAATTCATTTCATAATCATGGAACAAGACAATCAAATTAACTAATAGCAAATAGGTATAAATCAAATATTGGCAAACAATCCATTTTTCATACAGGAATCATTCAATACAACTCATTACCAAGTCAACTGAGAAATATACAGGAACCAACTAGATTCAAAATTAAGTTAAATATCTGCTTCAGAGACTTTGATAATTCCATATCTTTTTGAATACCCATTTATAAAAGATAGGGTTGATATTGCATGATTATTTGCATTTTTTTTTTTTACTTGTTATATGTTATTGTTATTTCATAATTGTATGTATAACACTATGTATATTGTTTATGTATCTCTATTATAAACAACTATGTTTCTTGGGGTGATAAAGACAATCAATCAAAAAAAAAGATTTTAAAAATTTCAGTGCGAGATAGCGGAAGGCTAGATAATCATAAACTCTTATGTTTCTTCATAAAATAATGTCAATAACGGTAACTAAAACTTAACAAATGAGGTTAAAACAGTGTTCTCAGCTCGAAAATTCTCCATTTTTAACAATATTGCTATCACTTATAACTCATAACCAATCTTGCAGGTACTGTCCAAACAGAATACAGAATTTCATAGCATATGTTATGATCATAACAATATTGTTATCTCAAAAAACAATCCAATACCTACCTCCTCTCCCTATTCTCCTCAGGTACACTCGATGTTCCACGAAGAGATAAAAATAAAAGAATCGACCCGAATATATCTGAGAAACTTGTTATTTTTACAGACGTCTAATCACAGATTCTTTATTGGGTTACCTCAATTCAGAATTTCTTTCCGCGCACTGTATGATGAATATCAATTTGTCATACATCCAAAACAGTATTCTTTGCTCAATAGTAAGAGTACTATAACAGAATACGACGCCGAGCCAGACGCTTCATGATTTCAAATTTGCAGGTACTATGGACCATTTGCAGACCTAGACGCCGACCAGATAACCGACTACGTGGATGGGGTGTGGCGCACCCTGTACAAACTCGCGAAAACGCTCAACGACAATCCGGGCTCGAAAAGGATCGCCGAAATGGTCAGAGCCAAAGTGGAAAAGTTCAAGCAGTTCCTGCCCGTCCTGCAGACCATTTGCAACAAAGTAAGGATGAAGTTTTCCTCGAACGAATTACCATAGAATCTGGAAATTTTCTTTCATGTCCACGTTGTACAGAATGGCGATCGATAAAGTCCAAGTCGTTTTTATTTTCGAGATGAAGCAATTTCTAATTTCCGGGACGTACATTCTGAATCTAGTTTGCATATAGTTGATGAAAAATATGGCTAGCGAACAGCTAACGAATAAAAACGAATAATAAAAATAGAAGAAGAGGAAGACAACTTGGTGTCGTTGAGTAACCTATAGGGCGATACCGTTTAGATTTATTCAATTAAGTGAACATTTTCAGTATGACATTTTGTATAATAATGTGAGAAAGTATTTTTTTCTTAATTGACTCGGCCGTTACTTCAAAACTTTAACCTATTTTGGATCATCAACTGGGAAATTAGCTTCATTTCTACATAAACAGGACTTGAAAGGGGCATATAGAACAAATAACACGTTGGGACGATTTATCAAGAATAATAAAGACAAAACTCCTAAATTCGAAAAATCAGGGGTATAAAAACTCAACTGCGGATCTTGTCCTAAAGTATATATCGGTCAGACAGGTCGTACGTTTAATCAGCGCATTCATGAACATAGGATGAATTTTATGAAAAAGAAAACAAATTCAACATACGCCAACCATATATTAGAAGAAAACCATAGTTTTGATGATAATTTCGAAATTCTGCACGTAGAATATAAAGGACTGAAACTCAATCATTTTGAATCATTTGAAATCAACAAACTCAAAAATTTTGACATTTTACTTAATGATCAATTAGACCTCAATAGTTCACCACTGTTGAATTTGTTTTCTTAGTGAGTAATAATATGTATTTGCTATCAACTCTTTCAAGTTAATCCGGTATACCATATTTTAATGTAGATATTGTGCCTAATTTCCGAAAATGGAGGTTTATCGTACCTGTCCACAGGTAACTAATCCTTCAGGTTGTGAAAGTAAGTCATATAAAAGTTAAGCAAGCCAACGTTAGTTCAGTTCATTGTACCAGTATATCACCTGACGAAGCTACTGTGTTAGCGAAACATGTCGTGTGTTTGAGAATTTTGTGTAAATCTTATCGTTTGTGAAGTTTTTACATGTGACAAAGTATACCGAATAAGATTGACAATAAAACAAAAATGTTGCGAGAAAACTAAAGGGGCTGTCTTGTCACACGTTATATGGAAATAAACCGAAGCAAAAGATCAACAACGTGATGAAAACTCACATATTCATATGCAAAAATACCAAAAGATCAACAACGTGATGAAAACTCACATATTCATATGCAAAAATACATACCATCTTGAAAAAGAGAACTTTCACACATTCAAATGAAAATATAATCACTAAACCGAAGACAAATTTCAAATTTTTACTTTTGAATAATTCGAGTTATTTTTTATATCACTTGAATCGGCCGTACGCGATGAAATGTAGAACGAGACTGCTGATTGGTTTGATTCGTCATTCTGATGACTAATAAGTTACGTCATCCTTTCAACCGATTGAAACCCGAATGAGTACGACTAATCTCGATATCGGTAGTAGGTATAAGGAGTGGTGTGAAAAGAGGAGAAATTTGATATAAAGTGTTACCGTTGAAGTCTGTATTATATGGGATTTTTATTTATTATTTAGTCAGTGCAAATTAGGATTGTATGAATAATTCTCAATTTGGAAATAAAGCAAAATATAGTGCATGATTTTTCGATCTATCGATGACTGTAGAATAAGACATTTTCTGTCAGAAAATACAAAGTAAAAATTTTCATATTGCAAATATAAAATATTTGTATTCACTCATTACATAATGGCGAATATTTTCGCAACTTGTTGCATTAATATCCATCTGAATCCTCTGCATCAATAACCATCTAAATCCTCTGTCTGGATCTTATGGGCTCATTTTATTAATTATATCGTTCATACTAGAAATTCATGAACAGTTCTTATTTTGGAAATAATGCAAAATGAGGTTCATGATTATCTGATAAATCGATAGCTGCCAGGTATATGGTAGTTGAGTCTTCTTTGGAGGAATTCAAACTAACAACAACATAGGGCTGTGCGTTTTGTAGGCCTCACATCGAAAGAGGGAGAGGTGGTCTCTGTTTCGAGAGGGAAGGCGGTTCGTACATTAATATGTAGGCGTACCTAGAGTCACTGGATGTTATTAGTTTGATAAGAGTTCGGACACAGAAATGACAACGGTTAGAGTTTTTGAATGTTTAGATTTATTAAGTTTCACACCTTGCATTGTGACAAGAGCACCATAGTCGTCCCGCGCTTTTTCATTCAAAATTGTTTTAATTTGACAATACATTTTATAAACGTCAGAATTGAAATAAAATTTCATAATTATACATTCGAGATTTAAGCAGCTATGGAAATTACTTGCTGTGAAATAAATTGTGCCAATTCTGAAGAAAATGGATATCATTTATTCAATTTTCCGAAACAAATATCAACCATTCGCTTATGGAAGGAAGATATGAAATGGCCTGATGGGTGCAAAATCAATTTGAAGACGAGCGAAATTTGTGAGTTACTCATTGAAATTCACTTTTTATAACAGCATCTGATTAGAATGAAACTATATTTTAGGCCCATCTTCAAACAGAAGATTTCAAAATCTGTTTGTGAGAATCTGCTGTTCCATCAATTTACAAAGCAAGCGATTTCGAGAACAAAATTCCATCATTATCATCACACAAAATACAAAACGAAATGATCATTGAAAAGAGGAAATGATCGCAAAATTACATAATGAAATTGAGAATTTGATAACGAAACTAAGAAAAGCAAGTTAACTACATCAGAGTGATATATTATTGAATGGCGTTTTTGGTGCAGACCAAATTCAAAATTCAGTGGAAAGTGAAAGTTGCTGAGAACTTTACAAAACCAAGTATTTGGTAGGTCTCGTCAAAATAAACTACTTTTTTCCTATCAAATGTTTATCGAAAAATGATTTGTTCTCTGTATTTCAGCACTCTGTATCTACGAAATGAAGCATTTCCGGACACAAAAGCTCATATAGACTTTATTTCTTATAATTGTCTCAGGAATACTTCACTTGAAAGTACTTATGTTACTTCCTGTATATTGAGAATATCTACCTTTAATGTAATATAAATAATTTCATGTTTTATACTCATCACTGGAGTACAGTTTCACATATAATAAGGAATTATAGCTTATAAGTTTATGCATATGTGTATATTTTCTAATATTAAAATGTTGTTACATGCATTCTTGTTCTGTTAGAAGTGTATCACTATGAATTGAAGTGGGTGTTTGTACCCTATACCCATTGTCCATTTACGGCTATGATTGATTTGACAGAAAATATAACCTCTGAAATCGTATCTGACAATCAGGCACTACTAGGGAAATTGAAAAGACAAAGAGCAGAATATATGTCTTATTCTTTTATTCACCTAAACCATTATTATTATAGAAAATAGAAAAGGACAAAAGTTCAACTGTGTCCGAACTCTTATCAAACTAATACCATCCAGTGACTCTAGGCGTACCCATATTCCATTCAACCAATTTTGTCATTTTTTGTCAGACAATACAAAAACAAACATTTCTCTCGAATATAAACGATTTTCAGAAAATCATTTTCCTCCTGTATTTTTTCACAACACGATTATTAAAGATCTCTTGCAATACTCGAAGTCCACATTAAAAAAAAAACTAAAGGCAATATTCAATATGTGATAAGAAGAATTACATTTTTATTTCAAACTATGTAGCTTGTTGTATACTACTACTGATTTGTCCCATCACACAATCTTAATTTCTTGTCCAGTTACTCTAATTCCCATAATACATGTTAGGTTAAGTGTAAGATTGGCTATAGCTGAACTTCGCCTACTATGTAATATTGAAATACTAAATAAAGTCGACTTTTATTATTATTATTATTATTATTATTATTATTTCAAAGCGGCACACAAATGTAATAGCTGAAAGAACAGCTATAAATGTTTCCATAACCATTTACAAAAACACTCACCATCCTAAAAAAAGACAACTTTTACACACTCAAATGAACTACAATCACTAAACGGGAGATTCATTTAAATTTTTTAATTTTGGATAATTCAAGTTCTTTTTCATATCACTGAATCGACCGTGCGTGATGAAATCTAGAGCGAGACTGCTGATTATTGGTTTGATTCGTCATTCTGATGACTAATTAGTTACGTCATCCTAACTGATTGATGCCCGAACAAGTAAGACTAGTTCTGATACGGATAGTACTGCATCATATGGGATTCTTTCATTATTTAGTTTGTGCAAATAAGGGTTTCATGAACAGTTCTTACTTTTGAAATGATGCAAAATGAAGTTTATGATTTTTTGATCAATTGATAGCTGCCAAGTTAGGCATTTTCTGTCAGAAAATGGAAAAACAAAAATGTAATTTTTCGAATATAAACGATTTCAGGGCGGCAAATGAATTCAATAGCTGAAAGATCAGTGATGAATGCTTTTAATATCATTTACAAATACACTTACCATTTCGAAAAAGGAAAACTTTCAAACACTCAAATAGAATACAATCACTTAACCGAAGACGAATTTTAATTTGATGAAATCTAGGACGAAACTGCATAGGGAGGATAGGGAGAAGAAGGTGTTGTTTTTTTTTTAACTTTTGGAGCTTACAAGTTATTTATTTATTTCAGTTATTGCATTACATTCTCTCGTTCATTGATACATTTTATACAAATAATACATAAAGTATTATTGATTTTCTTGGCAATACTTCCATTCCATTGGCAAAGATTTCGAAAGCTTCGCCGTTCTATAGACAAACGAGTTTTGGTGGAGTGTTGTTAGACATATTTCAAGGTTCACGACGAAAAGATGTGCTGACTGGGCCTGTCGAGTTCGTCTGACTGGTATTTGCTAGTGATGGGGTTATAGCAGAGATTTCTGGGGAACATTTCCCGTGAAAGTATCTATAGAGAAGTGGAAGGTCGCTGACTTTTCTACAGTGTTCTAATGAGGTCGAAGAGTTAGTGAGTGTGGCACCACCCACCAGACGAATGGCTCTCCTCTGGATGGAATCTAAGAGCATCAGCGTATGTTTGGTTGCCTATCCCCAAAAAACAAAATATCAACTAATTTCATGCCAAATAGCTTGCAGCCGTTATTTCGCTGCTATGGTGATGATCATCTGCATTTATCGAAACCATAGCTATCAAGATTTTCATAGTTATAGTGACAACAACAATGTGATACTTCCCGGCCCAGCACGGGAAGTATTCACTTCCCGGACGGTTGTGGAAAAAGTATATTTTCGCATGGAACGAGAATCCGAGTTTTTATCAATTGTATCAATTCCTTATATTTAATAAATACAATTCATTATCATTTTTATTGTTATTGTTTTATTTTTTATTATAACAAGGGTCTGCAAAAGAGGCACTGGGACAGGATCAGCGAGATCGTCGGCGTGGTGTTGGAGATCTCCGAATTTTCTACTTTGAACGACATGATCGAAGCTGGTTTGCCGAAGTTTACGCAACAGCTGGAAGAGATCGGCGCAGCTGCTACCAAAGAGTACGCGCTGGAGAAGAACTTGCTGAAGATGAAGGAAGAGTGGCAGGACATTTGCTTCGAGTGCGTACCGTACAGAGAGACCGGAGTCAATATTCTATCGGCTGTAGATGATATCCAGGTAATGATTAATTAATTGAGTCTACCCACAGACATATAAAGAGAGGGGAGACATAACATTTCATTAATAAAACACTATTTGTTTACAATCATACATGCTTCCAAAGTTTCAAATGAGTTAGAAAGAGATGGGTTGAAAAAATGGCAACGCTGTAAAATGTGCGTGAATGTTTACACTTCTTCACCAGTCGCGTAGGTTGAGCGAGAGGCAAGACAATTTTACTACAATGACAACGATATCATAACCATTAGAAAAAGTTTGGGTCAAATCTTTTAATTTTACTACCAGATATTCGGAGTACCTTAGGTACTTACCTAATTTTGATCCATCAATCATTGGAATTCAATGGAAACAAACGTTTTTCGCAATAATTTAGTCAAATAACCTGCGATAACTACACCAGAGACACCACTGCTCAAGTTAAATGAAGCATAACCTAACTTACCGTCGAAATACCAATTTGGGATTTCAATGATGCTCTTTTCTACGATCTACGCACTGGCGAACCATAGAAGATTTTTAATAATGGTCTTCATATACTTATATAGGAAAAATAAAGCTGAGATACAGGGGGGAGTCCCAAAATGCAACATTTTCAATTTCGCCCTGTATCTCAAAAACGAATCAGGCGATGAAAATTTTATTGGCGGTATCGTGAGTTTCACAAATAAGTGAGATATCCCGTGGCCACCTCGAAAATTCATATCTATCATTCTTCCAACTTTGGTAGTTGATATCTTCTGTTGGCGAAAAGATATCATGTTGCGGTTTCCGTTGGTCTGTTGAGCTCCAGTACCTTTATTACATCGTATATATGTATTCCATCAGATTCATTCTATCTCAAACTTGTATCATTATTCGTTGCTGAGATATGGCCGACAGCCGTTCACCCGGTATATACCAGCTGGCCATCGACCTCCATCGAGGTACTTCAGTCCAATCATTCCATATTTCAAGAAGAACTGATTTTCGAATTAACGAAAGACAGAAAGATATATGGATGTACTCTTCCCTGAACATGTAGAGGAAGGAAGATGCGAGAAGCCTTTATTTAAGCGAAAAACATATTCTTGTCCTTGTCTGACAAAACATATGATTTACTTCAAAATCATTTTTGATTATATCTCACTGCCATTGCTTGTCGAGTGTCCGTACTCTAATATACAAAAATCGTCAAAACGGTAGTGTCAATTGTGTGTCATTATATTATTTTTTTTTATGTAACATGTATTCAACATGTGAAAAGTATACCTTGTAGTCATATAGCAATTACTTTAAACACTTTTTTTCTGTGACGGGAAAAAAGTTTGGCATTTCATCCCTGTTGGCAGGTTATAATATGTCACTTTTCATAAATTACTTTTTTCCCGTGGGAAAAAAGTGAGTACTTTTTTCGCGGATATACAGTGCTAGTCAAAAGTCCCCTCCCCCCCTCGTATCTTTTGAACGGGTATACTTATAATAATGAAATTTGGAGGGTGGAAATAAACGGATGTAGGCTTCTCAACTGGTCATAACAGGTGACGCAATAGTTTATTTCCACCCTCCAAATTTCATTATTATAAGTATACCCGTTCAAAAGATACGAGGGGGGGAGGGGACTTTTGACTAGCACTGTATATCACATATATATACACTGTTGATGGCTTTTGTTGTGCTATAGTTCCGAAAAATGAGTCAATAATACCGTCTCCGAGAAAGAACTGCAAGTCCTTTTATCTTCCATTCGACTTCGCGGTTACGTATATTACTAAACAACCACTGAATTCGCAATTTTTTGAAATCAAATCACAAAATTAGACTGACAGAAGTGACATCAGATATTTGATTACTTCAAATGAATGATAAAGATGCCTACAACGCGGTGTCCCTACTGTTGAAACTTAAAGTTTCATGTCGATAATTTTCAGATTTCAAAATGATGTAATATCTTCTCAATATTGATTCGTCCTTTTTTCTGTCACAGAAAAAAATAGTGTATTATACACGGGAAAAATATTAGATTTTAGCTCACGGTTTGTTGTCAACACAACCTAGAGCTAAAATCTACTACTTTTTTCCCTTGTATAATAAATAACTATTGTGTTGTTTAATTCGAGGTTTTATTAGTCTATTTTTTTTAGTTATTGTCATTTTTACACTATCTGTCATTTATATAGCTATAGGTATCTTATTTAACTAGTATTAGTTATTATTATCTCGGAACAAGTGGATTGTCACTTATCGAGTATATTTTATGAATAAAGCTATTATTATTATTATAAGTACATAAAGAAACTCTACCAATGAGATATGGTTTCTTACATGCCGGAGCTTGTCCACTTCTCGTTGACTGCATACTGGGAAAGCTCAATAGAAAATATTTCGTTTCTTCATATTAGAATGTGAAGGAAATTGATGAATCACGTATCATTTAGCTCAATCTTCAAATAAAGAATGAATTGTTGAAACAAACTGAACAGATAAAGTATTTAGGTATTTGGTTTGATGAAAAATTGAAGTGGGACAAACATATTGAGGTTCTGACAATGAAAATATCTCCGATAATTGGTGCATTGAGAAGATGTCCCAAACTCAATATAAAAATTGCAAATATAGTAGTCTATTCACATATGCTGAGTCGAATCAACTACTTAATAAATGTTTGGGGACCTTGGTCTAAAAATATGTTTAATAAAATGTCAACATTATATAAGAAATCATTAAATGTACTGTATTGTCTTTCATATGATACACCAACAACTGAACTGTATGCTTTAACAAAAACATATTCTTTAGAAGAACTGTACAGATTAGAGACTAAGAATTTCCTACAATATCATAAATATAAATTTTAATCTAATAATATTATGACAAGAAATTTTGAAATTCATAGTCATCAAACTAAACAATATAAGTTATTTCACCTTGATGCTGCTAGTTCTACACTCGAACAAAAAAGATTCACTCATGCAGCCTTATCTGAGTTCAATAAACTGCCAGATGAAATTAGTGTAGTAGTTTATAGATATTTATTACTTATTATTTTATAATTATGTTCTTCCTCATACCAGAACTTTTTCTGACTGGAAGATATGTTTGATAAATAAATAACTAAAATGAATCTTTGAAAACGAAGGTGTCTCAACTGGTTATTTGAAGGCTATACCTATGATTCCCAACGATTCATCAATCAAATGTCTCTTCACGCATTGTCGAAATTGCCTTCCAGGTGATGATGGACGACCACATATTGAAGGCCCAAACGATGCGAGGCTCACCCTACGTCAAGGCCTTCGAAGAGGAAATGCAAGCATGGGAAACCAAACTGATCACCATGCAGGACATCCTGGACCAGTGGCTCATGTGCCAAGCCACCTGGATGTACCTGGAGCCGATATTCAGCTCAGAAGACATAATGAGGCAGATGCCCACCGAAGCTAGAAGCTTCAAGACAGTCGACAGGGTGTGGAGGGCCATACAAAATAACACTGCCAAAGACACTCACGTGCTCAAAGCCACCGAGTTCAAGAACATGCTGGGTCTGTTGAGAGAGAACAACAAACTGCTGGATGAAATCCAGAAAGGGCTCAACGACTATCTGGAGAAGAAGCGTCTGTTTTTCCCTAGATTCTTCTTCCTCTCCAATGACGAGCTGCTGGAGATTCTGTCCGAAACGAAGGATCCCTTGCGGGTGCAGCCGCACCTGAAGAAGTGCTTCGAGGGCATTTATTCGTTGGAGTTCACCAAGGACGAGGAGATTGTGGGGATGGTGAGCGCGGAGAAGGAGAAGGTGCCTTTGTGCACGAAGATCGTGCCTGCGGATGCTAAGGGGATGGTGGAGAAGTGGTTGGTGCAGGTGGAGAAGATAATGATACAATCGCTCAAGGTAGGGGTTAGGGGTGTGATATAATAGATCTTTTTTTTTCAATTCAATACATGCTTTATAGACCAGTGCTGAAGCCTTTGAAAACGGTAAAATGTGAATGGCAAAGTTGTATGTAATTAAGAGACCTACAACTTTTGTAACCACACTTTTTTCACATAACCTCGAAATTCATGTGAAAAATTCCAAAAATCAAGTTTTTGGTTTTTTATTTTTATCTTCTGCAAAATAAATTCATTTTCACGAAATTTGGTCAAAACTTACCTATTCATGTCCTTAAGACACTGAAATTTGTTTGATTCGAAATATTTATTTTTTCACCTTATATTGACTTAATATCGAAAAAACTCGCGTCAAAATATCAGCTTTCTGAAAAAATTCGGGGCGTTTTTTGTTCGTTGAAATCCCTTCTTCCTGATAATGTACGAAAGTATATAAATTACTATGGTAAATGTTGGGGTTTCATCCTACTATTTTTTTTTGCTTAAAAAATTATCGACCTTGGTCTATTATTGCCATAAGTACATTCGTATTTGTTGACACAGCTCGTACATACAGGGTGATTCAAAAGTAAGCGGCATCCTTTCAGAGGCGTATTCCTTGCTTGAAAATAAGGCAAAAAGTTCCTATTGATAAGGATCCGAAAATGCTTCCTAAGGGAGCTACGGCCCTTTGAATAGGACACCTCAAAGACGGTTTTTTCTCTATAACTTTAAAATCCTTCACAACAAATTTTTAAAAATTGGTGTACGGCATAAACATTCGATGGTAAATAGGACTCCGTATTCGAAATTTCAGAATTTCATTCAGGGGCGTCACATGCGGGAGAGGGTAAGTGTAAAAATATCCCTTCTTCTCCGGATATTCAGGTTACTGTGATTTCGTTTGGAAATTATTTCGAATACGGAGTCCTATTTACCATCGAATGTTTATGCCGTACACCAATTTTTAAAAATTTGTTGTGAAGGATTTTAAAGTTATAGAGAAAAAACCGTCTTTGAGGTGTCCTATTCAAAGGGCCGTAGCTCCCTTAGGAAGCATTTTCGGATCCTTATCAATAGGAACTTTTTGCCTTATTTTCATGCAAGGAATACGCCTCTGAAAGGATGCCGCTTACTTTTGAATCACCCTGTATACAGTGTTTCACGCTTTTCATGAATACACCCTGATATCTCAGTTATTAATGGTGCGATTATCTTGAAATTTTTGTAGTGATTGTATGTTAGAATAAGGAAGTATTTATAGTTTATCCAAAAACAATTGCATAGTCTCGTGCCGCAGCTGCAGTCACTTCAAAGGGAACCTCAAACACGCCGACACCGCACAGTGCGGGGTATTCTGCAATTGATATTGGATATACTATAGCAGAATGAACAGTTTCATCCTATTGTCCATTGTCGTGCGATGTTGAAGTATACAAAAAAGGCCTTTATTTGGGAAAAGGATATTAGGACTCATGTTAAATAACTTTTTTTTATCAGAATCTTAATCAGCATCCCCTTAAAACCCCCAATTCGTTTTAATAGTGAGATTGATGGACTTTCAATTTCCTCTTGTTCTAGGACATATCGAGGAATTCGGTGAATATCTTCACCACCTTGGTCACACCTTTTTTTTTAATAGGGCTGATGGACAATGACAATCGAATGTTTTTTCTTCAATGACATAACGAGGGACTCGGTGAACAACTACATCACAGTAGACCGTTGTTTCAATAACGGGGCTGATGGACAATCGAATGCTTCTCGTTCAAGGACATAACGAGGGACTCAGTGACCAACTACTCCATTGTGAACAGACCGTTTGTTTTAATAGTGGTAGATAGATAGATTTATTGGTCATGATATGTATACAATACATTTACTACAAGTCACAATCTTATAATTGAGATGGGTTTGAAATATGAATGTATTAATATTATTAAGGTGCCTGAGTTGTCGCATATCGAAGATTGAGCTGGATAATTTAAGGTCCAGTTGCCTGATATGAGTTACCCAATTTAGCTTCTCATCCAAAGTGAGACCCAAAATTTTTACATTCCTTTCCTCGTGTGGAAATATGCTGGTAGCGACTATTAAATTTTGTGATTTGTCACTAGAAAGTTTGAAATTGTTTGCTATAAACCAGTTCATGGCTTTTTCTTCAATTTCTCTTCAATTCCATCAGAGATTCAATGAATCGTGATTTTCATGAGAATATAAATTAGTGTCAGGTCGTCTGCAAACATAACGCTACTGTATGGGGATAAACAAGTTGGTAAATCATTAATATATATTATGAACAATAAAGGCCCTAGCACAGAACCTTGTGGTACACCAAATCTAACATCTTTGTAATCAGATAGTTCATTATTGTAGTATACTGTTTGAAATCGATCGCTTGAATAGGATTCAATGAGACTGAATGTGACGCCTTTGATTCCACAGTAGTTTAGTTTCTCAAGAAGTATTTCATGGGAGACACAGTCGAAGGCTTTAGACAGATCACATAAAGTAATACCCAAGGTTATCACACCTTGTTCAAGACCCTCAACTATTTTCTCTACAACACTTGGTGCTGCACTGGTTGTCGAGCGACCATTCCTAAAACCGTATTGTTGATTACTGAAAACATTATTTTCTTCAAAGTACTTAGTTAGTTGTTGTTTCATGATTTTTTCAATAATTTTTGCAAAAATACAGATGATAAAGGCTGTGTCAAGTCTGTGGTTCGACCGGGCACATACGTTCAGTATGAAGTCTGACCATCAGTCTGACCAACTAGCTGTTTGGGAATATCGGTCACGTTTCAAACCTGCCCACAGAGCCCACACAATTACCACATCAACTTCTGGATGGGAGTCAAGTCAGCCATTGGCCATTCTGGTATCACCTGTGTGGTCAGACGGAAGACTTGACACAGCCAAAAATAGGTCGGTAGTTTTCAGTATCAGTCGTGTCTCTCTTCTTGAAAAGCGGAATAATTTTCGAGGTGGCTGATGGACTTTCAATTTCCTCTTGTTCAAGGACATATCGAGGAATTCGGTGAACAACTTCCCCACCGTGGTCACACCGTTTTTTTTTTCAATAAGGCTGATGATCAATGACAATCGAATGTTTCTCCTTCAAGGACATAACGAGGGACTCGGTGAACAACTACCCCACCGTGGACAGACCGACGTGGGTGTTGGCGTGGCCGGGACAGATTGTACAGTGCGTCGACTGCGTGCAATGGACCTCGGAGGTGACCAACGCCATCTTCAGCGGCGCGCTGGAGGAGCAGGAGGAGATCTGCACCGAGCAGATCGAGCAGAGCGTCAAGCTGGTGCAGGGCAAGCTGAAGCCGAACAATCAGGTGACCGTCGAGGCTCTAATCGTCATCGACGTGCACTGTAAGTATCTTTCTTGAGACTAAATAACACCAATCATCAAAGAGATATAGATAGACAGATAGATACTTTATTCGTTTACCATTTAGAATATTCACATCGGGAATATAAATGAACAAACACGTCAAAAACACTCAATATCAAACAGAACATATAAATAAATAGATAAATAAATGAACTACGAAATAGCCACAATGCTCACAGTGGAATGAAATAGTAAATAAATGTGAAAGGCTCACAGTCATTTCCACCCAGTGTTCATAAATAAATGGTGAATAGATATATATATATATAGCAATACAAAATGAAGTGTTATAATTCAAATAAAGAATTCGTTTAATGAATAACAGCATTTTTCATTTAAAACGTTCATCAATCTTTTTTTGAAAATGTTCACATTGGGGACGGATTTGATTTGATTATTCAATTTATTATACAATTTGCACCCGATGAAATAAAAACTCCTTTGATAAAGTGTAGTGGAGTGAGAGTTGGGTTGTAACAAATTGCAGTAGCGAGTGTTATGATCAAAGACATAAGAAAGAGGGAGGGGAAATTGTTCACATTTTATTCGGATACAACATCGTTTTCAGCAGAAAACCATGATGACTTTCTGTAAGCGACACAAATTGGTATAGATTCAGAACCCTCGTGACATTTTTCGTCGATCCAGCTGTGAAATATCAGGTTAGGATATCCGTAACTATTTTTTCTTCACAGATTTGACACTTCCGAACCATATTCATTTACAAAATAGGCTACTTGACATTCATAATATTAAATGAGTTCCTGAACCACCGAAAACTAATCACACAACAGCGGGTAAACCATTAATAACAACAGAAACAACAATGTATTACATTTTTTAGGACTATTGCTCATCTACTACATAACTTCGCGGTGCTGCCACGTTCATATTCAATTGATTTATATTTTTTACTTTGTTATTTACCTACCTTACAATAACTATTAAGTTTGTAATTATTGGTAGTAGTATTCATTTCTGACAATAATGTTGTTATGGGTGTATCATTATTATGCAATGAAGGTTGTTCTATTTTTTGTCATGAACTATTTATGCCGAGTTGAATGAAATGTTTTATCCCGAAAATTCTCTCTAATTATCCATCTGGCAGCGATTCCACATAGGTCCTTTGAATGTGATGTATTTTCCGCAGAAGGAATGATCCAAATAAATTACTCTTCTAAACTAGTTACTCTGATGTATCTCCGTCCAGTTGTCGATCGACCGAGAGCGACTGATAGGACCTGGGGGGCTGGAACGGTGCGGTCTTGCTTCTACTGACAAATAAAGCAGTTTCATCAAAGAAAGCTCATAAGAACATATTTTTTTACCCAAGTCAACCGACTTTCCGTATAATATTGATTTAATTACGCTGGTTATTTCTGTTTCAGGTAGGGATATCGTGAGAACGCTCAAAGAACTGAAAGTCACTTCCATCGCCGATTTCAATTGGATATCTCAGTTGCGTTACTATTGGAAAGATCATTCGGTGACCGTGTCCATGATAACGACTGAAGTTATGTACGGTTTCGAATATTTAGGAAACACCGGTCGTCTGGTAGCCACGCCGTTGACTGACAGATGTTATAGGTTAGTAATACTATGGGTTGCGTGCAAGAACTTGTCGCAGAGTCATGCTTCTCTGCGAAGAACACATAGTAGTGGGTAGGTTTTTTGATACCTCTGTCACTTGACAGTGAATAAATAAGTTACACTTCAATCAGTGGTATTCATACAATTTTCTTACTTCTTCGTAATTACTCGGCATGGATGTGTCAATTCATAGTTTCGATGAACAATAATACTATGAAAAACTTTTGCATTTGAAAAAACGGATGGAAGATTTGAATAACAAATTGAATAATACTAGTAAAAATATTGCTTTATATGAGCATGATCCATGTTCATTTATTAATTACTTATTACCTACCACTCTTGTACAAGTGAAATTGTTCCATGAGAAATAAAAGTATGTTTCATTGGTTGAAATTTATCAGTTTTTACCCTATTCTGAACTTTTGTGATAAAAAAATATTCAACTGAACGTACATAGGTATATACAGTCTGTCCAAGATAAGGTTGAACAGCATGGGGATCTCGAAAACGGTAGGAGATACGAAGTCGGTTAAATGGGGAAAAAGTTGCGCATTCGGAGGCTCATATCAAGATCCTTCGAAAATTTTCAAAATTATTTTTAGTTTTTTAGATATATCGAAAAAAGTGAATTTTTGGAATATCTATTTTATTTTTTTCTCCGTTATCATTAGAGATACAGAAAAACTGAAAATATTTTTTCATAGCAACTTTCGATGACGTTTAACGTGGTGATACCAATTTTTCTATGCGTTTCGTATTCGTAGAACCATCATCAACTTTTTTTTTTTTTAAATACGGTCTTGATATTTTTTTCACAGATTCTGAAAGGTTTTTTTATTCTGAATTCAACCATGTATCATACAAGGTGGTTTATGTGTGTTTCGACCTATTTTTAACCATCATCTATGTTTTTTCCAAATTCCAAAGGAAAAATGCTATCAGTTCCACTTATTTTGAAGGAAAATTAGTCATCACACTAATACCTCATCAACTGGTTTCAATCAACAGCCCATTTCATTTTGCGGAAACAAAAATTCCATCCATACAAATTCAAAATATGTCAAGCGCTAAAACCAGGCGATGACGAAAGGCGCAGGACATTCTCTGTGAGTGGTATACCAGGAAATGTCAACATTTTGGAGATTTCCCGCAAACAATCATCTGGACTGATGAAAGCATGGTCACTAATCATGGTATCTTCGATAGAAAAAAATACACATTATTGTTCACGAGTCACGAGAAAATGAACATTTATACATTACAGCGAGACACCAACACCGTTTTGGCTTTAATATGTGGGTTGCAATATTTGGTACACGAATAATAGGTCCTTTTATTTACCATGAAACACAGACTTCCGAACGTTACAGAAATTTGCTTGAGAATCATCTTGAGGAAGCTCTGGATGATTTACCGATTGCGGAAGTTCAGAACTGTTGGTTTCAACAAGATGGCGCTCCGGTACATAATTCCAAAGAAGTTCGTACGTTTTTATCCAGAAAAATGGATCGGTACTCATTCTGCAGTCCCTTGGCCGGCGCGGTCACCTGATTTGACACAGCTGGATTTTTTTTAGGGGATATATCAAAAACTTTGTACACGCAAATAGCTTTGATGATGAAGAAGAACTAAGGGACAGTGTCATCGAATCATTCAATAGGATAACCCCAGAAATGCTCAGTAATATCTTAGAAGCAACTGTGAGAAGAGGATATCTTTGTTCAGGAAATGATGGTTATCATTTTTGAAAATTTGTTATGAATGTTTCTGAAGGTATTGTCACAGTTGAGTTGTTAAAGTAATTCGTGTAAGAGTTCATCAACAATTTTAAGCGCTGCATTGATAGATAGATAGATAGATAATTTATTGATCTTTTAGGTGTATATGTGATACAAATAAGACAAGTCAAGCATCGAAAAAAATGAGGTACAGATAAAAATCTTAAATATTAGAAACATATTGAAAAAGTTGCACAAATACAGACATATTAAAAAAAACAATATTTAAAAAATATACATATCTGTAAATTGGCTATATTTAATAAAAAAAACATACACTATAGATAGTATCATTATTGAGCACCAGACCTCAGGGCAGCCATATATTCTTCTATGGAGTAGAGGGCATTCGAAATTAAGAAATCTTTCAAATGTTTTTTAAAGTTGTATGAACTAAGATTTTTTACACATACAGGGAGTGCATTGTAGAGATTCACATCCAGAGAATTTTTGCTAGATTTATGCAATCTGAATCTGTTTGGCCTGATAAATTGACAGCTCCTGGTGGGATAATCGTGAAAGTCAGAATTTTTTCCGTAATCTTCTTTATTTTTATGAATATCCAACAAAAGTTGGTATATGTAAATAGATGGTAGCGTCATGATTTTTAGGGATTTAAAGAATGGTTTACATGAATCAGCGTAGCCAGCACCAGCGATAATTCTTATTGCTTTCTTTTGAAGAATAAATATTTCAATGGCATAAAATTGTTCCATATGAAATTTGGGAGTGGAAGACTGCATAATATGCTGATAGCAGTGCCTGAACGCCAATAATATTCTTCAGTTTTCGGAGAAGGAATATATATTTGGAGATTTTATTACTAAGCTGCTCTATGTGAACTGGTCAGTTCAGTGTGTCATCTAGAAAAATGCCCAACAATTTGACTGAGTTCTTGTTAGAGACAATTGGAGAAAAATAGATTTGTTGAGTTTTATTCGAATTCAACATCAAGTTGTTTCTTCTAAACCATGATGCCGCTTTTCCTTGGGCCAAATTAATTTCATTTAAAAGCATTTGTCTATCCTTACCAGACGTGGTGAGGCTGGTGTCATCAGCAAAAGCAATACAGCCATAGGGAGACATGTAAGTGGAGAGGTCATTGATATAAATTATAAAAAGGAGAGGGCCCAAAACAGATCCCTGTGGTACTCCACATTTGATGAGTTCCAACTCAGAAACATTATTCGAATCAAGTGCAACACATTGCTGTCTATTTGATAGATATGATTTAAAAAGAGCAAGAGCTACCCCTCTTATACCATATACTTCAAGTTTACTGACAAGAATTGAATGAGATACACAATCGAACGCCTTGGTCAGGTCACAAAGAGCAGCCACAGTGTGCTCTCCTTTTTCAAAGCCATCGATTATAGTGTCAATAACTTTCTTCAGTGCATGTATAGTTGATGTCGATTTTATGAATCCAAACTGATTTGGATTGAATAGTTTATGTTTAATGTAGTAACTATAAAGGCGAGTTTTCAATAAGATTTCAAATATTTTTCCAAAAATAGGAATTATCGATATCGGACGATAATTTCCGATTTCATTCGCATTTCCTTTTTTGAAAATAGGAAGAATTCGTGCAATTTGAACTTATCTGGATAAAAACTCCTTGCTCAATACACGCATTGAAGAGGATTCTTAGAGGTTCTATAATATATATAGCAGTATCTTTTATAATTATAGCTTTCAGGTTATAGAAGTCGATGTAGTGAAATATTTTTCATTCACTTTTCAGTATTTAATAACTAATCCATCAATGTTTGACACTAAATGATCAAAAATAAATGGAACTGATGGCACTTTTCTTTTGGAAGTTCGAAAAAACAATGATGATGGATAGAAATAGGTCGGAACACATTCGAATCACCTTGTATAATACATGGTTGAATTCAGAATAAAAAAACCTCTCAGAATCTGTGAAAAACTTATCAGGATAGGAAAAGTTGATAATGGTTCTACGTATACGAAACGTCGCATAAAAAAATCGGTATAACCACGTTAAACGTCATCAAAAGTTGCTATGAAAAAGTATTTTCAGTTTTTCTGTATGTCTAATAATAACGGAGAAAAAAAAAATAGATATTCCAAAAATTCACTTTTTTCGATTTAACTAAATAACTAAAAATAATTTCAAAAATTTCCGAAGGCTCTTGATATGAGCCTCCGAATGCGCAACTTTTTCCCCATTCAACCGACTTCGTATCTCCTACCGTTTTCGAGATCCCCATGCTGTTCAACCTTATCTTGGACAGACTGTATATATACCTATAAAAGAGACCTATTTCATAGGAATAGTATATGTATTTCGTTCGAATATATGTACATACCAACTTGATATCGACCTCCATTGAAGTCCTTCAGCATTTTCATTCAATATTTCGAGAAGAAATAATTTTCTAATCAATTTATCGTACCCTTTTACCCACTCGAGGAGACGCTATGCACTCTCATACAAAAATCAACGACAGAGAAAGATATATGGATGTACTCTTCCCAGAACTTGTGGAGGAAGGATGATGCGAGGATCCATTATCTAAGCGAAAAACATATTCTTGTCATTGTCTGGCAAAACATATGATTTGCTTCAAAATCGTTTGTGGTTATGTTTGATTGTCACTGCTTGTCTAGTGTCCGTACTCTAATATACAAAAAAACGTCAAAACAGCAGTGTCGAGTACATTTAGGAACTCTATCCAAAGATAACTGAGATATCACGCAAAAGCATCGAAAACTGGACACACTGTACATAGCAAAACAACGTTTCTCGGGTCGCGATTTTACTAAATATACTGCACGCTAGCACAAACCACGCCCACCATAATACGTCATATCTCCAAACGTTACCGATATACTCGGAGTCAGCACATCGCACTAAATATACTGTGCTCCAACGCAAGAATACACTTTTCATGATTTTGACACGAATTCGACCGAAGCTCTCTCGTTGTCAATCTCTTGTATGTACGCTATAAATTCATATACCCAAATGGTCTACTGGTTAGCGCTGTCGACTTTCAGTCTGAAGGTCCATGGTTCAAATCGCTGTGAACTTGAACTTTTTTTTGCAACTTTTTTTTTTCACCAATGTTTTTTTACTTCATTCTGGTTTTCCTTTTTCATAAAATATTTGAAGTCAAATAGGTTAGTGAGTTTAGGATAAACAGTCTCATTTTATTCAATTTTGTTGAAGAACTCAACTTTTGAAATATATTATATTATAATTCAATGTGTTTCTACACTCCATTCGGTTTTCCTTCCTCAAAAATATTGCAATCAGGGATAGGTTAGTTCGTTAAGGATAAATAGTCTCTGAGTTTTGCCTAAGTACTTCGAATATGAGATATTACGGTGGGCGTGGTTGGTGCTAGCGTACAGTATATTTAGTAAAATCGCTCTCGGGTCAGCTAGAGTCCCTGCATATACCTTAGACAAGAGTCCGGACACAGCTATACTTCTGTCCTTTTCTATTTTCGAATAATTCATTGATGATTGAATAGAGGAATAAGACATATATATCGAGCTCTGTCTTTTCAATTCCCCTAGTATTAATGATTGTCAGAAACAATTTTGAAGGTTAGATTATTTGTCAAACCGTTCATAGCCGTAGGTAGAAGTGGGAAATAGGGCTATTTCAACTAGAATAACTATTAGATTTTCAAATAATAAACAACAGGGTGTTCAAATTTCGAATCGTTAATTGTCATAATCACTTCCTGAGGTGGCTATTACAAATTTTTGTCATCAGAGATTTCTTCACTTCATTAGATATAAATACGATAATTATAGTTTTCTACGTGGTATCACATATAGCCAAGAAAATATAGTTGTTTTCTGTTGGGATATAAAAAAATAGAGGATATATATAATTGTTTCAATATAATTTTCTCCGATTCTCTCAATTTAATTACGCAGAAATAAAAGTGACAAAATAAAAACAACTATATGCCTCATAAACATTGATTTAAATATTTATCTAACATTAGGGACAATGATATGTCAAAAATCCAGTTGATAAACTATTATACACACCTAATAACTATACTTATATTAAACTCATGGTACATATACTACCTATATAGTAGATATAATGGAAATCATAATTGCAAGATTCTTAAGATCATTATCTAGGTACCTATACCATCTAGGATTCTTCCGATGGTGACAAGGTTCCTATACGTACATCTGAATTAAAAACACCGTGGACTGATGACATAGCACATTGCAATTTCTCTAAATCTTCTAGTTTTGATTCCAAACTTTCATTTTCTTTCAGCATCATCACATTATCATTTTCTTTTTCTGCGATAGTATCATCACGGAAGTCTTTTGAACGTCTCTATTTAATAAATTGACGGCACAGCATGCAGACTTCTTTAATTTGAAATCCATCAGCTTGAAAGAATGTTCGTAAAAATGGGCTCAGAATTCCTCTTTTTTGTACTGTACATTTTAATATTTACCTAACATATTGCGGATTTCTTGAAATTAATTTTCCATTCTGGTCGATTCATCGCATTCTTCCATGACATTATCTTTAAAGGATAATTCGGAGAATTGAATAACTTGAATCCCTTTTCTAATGAATTATCGCAATAATGTACGCATAATTTAAAATGCTAAATTTTGGCAATCGTAAAATTTCAAAGTGACAGTGACAGAAATTCGAAATAATTTAAAAAAGCGGGCGGGACGACTATGGTGTTTCGTCACATTGTCAGGTGGGCAAACCAAAGGAAACAAAATATTAAAAACCCCAACGGCTGTCAGTTTTGTGGCCGGACTCTTGTCTAAGGTATATACAGGGACTCTAGGGTCAGCTAGTTATCATTATTATTATTATAGGACGTTGATGGGCGCTCTGAAGTTGAACCTGGGCGGTGCTCCCGAAGGCCCCGCCGGCACCGGCAAGACCGAGACCTGCAAGGACCTGGCCAAGGCGGTGGCCAAGAAGTGCGTCGTGTTCAACTGCTCCGACGGCTTGGACTACAAGGCGCTGGGCAAGTTCTTCAAAGGGCTGGCGCAGGCCGGCGCTTGGGCCTGCTTCGACGAGTTCAACAGGTATTGTGTCTGTAAGAAAACTTCACAAAAAATGAGATTTCCACCAGAATGGGCGAGTGAACTGATAATTAATTATTATTTCAATCTACATAAATTCAATATCAAATTTGGAATTGAGAGGAACATTTAAATTATTTGCAGATGACACGACATTGATTTATTTCTCCAAAGATTCAAATAATATTATCATGGACATGAAAAGTGATTTAGAGAAAATATCCTCTAGGTTATAAAATTCAGTTCATAAACTATCTTTCAATTATAACAAATCCTCATATATGTACATAGCAAAAAGAACACTGAACATTTCGAATAGAACACTATCCTTCAACAATAAACTCATCAAATATACAGATGTTACAAAATTTTTAGGTCTTTATATTGATGAACGACTATTGTGGAATAAAAATATAGATCATTTGAGAAACAAACTTGATCCCATTACAGGCATTTCATTCAAAATACGAAATTTCATTTCTACTAAATATTACTCAATATTTCAATTCCTAATATCTATATGGGGAAGTACCAATATTTCACGTTTGCGTCCACTAATGAACTTACAAAATAAAACATTGAAGTGAGAGATTTATTAGATCTGACATCACCATACAAAACTTAAAATATGTTGTTTTATTCAATTTGTCCTATATAAATTTAAAATTTGGAATTTAAATTTCGATGAAATTAATTCATTACATAATCATGGAACAAGACAATCAAATTTACTAATAGCAAATACGTATAAGTCAAATATCGGCAAACAATCCATTTTTCACACAGGAATCGTTCTATACATTTCATCACCTAGTCAATTGAGGAATATACAACGAGCAACTAGATTCCTTGTTATATCTTATCATTATTTCATAATTGTATGTATAACATTATGTATATTGTTTATGTATTCCTATTATAAATAACTATGTTTCTTGGGGTTATAAAGACAATCAATCAATTACTACACTGTGTCGTTAGGAACCTAAATCAATTTTTTGCAACACTTCTCACGCTTTTTTATGTAAATAATGAGTTTTAAGATCAGAGTTATGATAGGGAGGTTGGGAAGGGCGAAATCTGCGTATTCTTCGCCGAAATCATTGCCATCCTAGGAGAAAAGAGGGTATTTCTCTTCATAATAGAAAAATCTAGTAGGCAAGATATAATTGTAATGATGAAGATGGAAAGTCTTAATTTCGAGTGACAATGGAAAATGAAAAAACTCTACCGCCCCGTGTGAGAGTCGAATTCACAACCTCTGGGTTACATGCCCAACGCTTTGCCAATGGGCTTATATCACAAAAAAAATTTATTTCATAATTCGATAGAACTCACCCAAACTAGCTCACTACCGCAAACCGTTTCTTGCAGTGAGCTCCCTACGTTTTATGAAAAATTATTGAAATTCCCGATTTTTCGGACCTCTGAAAACGAGCCGATGATGTGACGTCAAAACCCTAACTGAAACAAGACTATTCCAGACAGAGATAAATGATACATGATTTATGACAGAGTGAATAAGCGCGAGATTACAGTTGAAAGAATTAATATATCAGTTGCCTCAGTCTCCGTCGGGCGTTTGGTATTTTCTTTTAACTATGGCGAGATGAGGTTTCTACGTCATAAGAGGGTCCGTTTTCAGAAGGAACTATTATTTATGTCCAAAAATGAAACATTTCAGTTAATTTTCCGATCGAATTATGTCGTCAATCATTATTTATGTATAAAAGGATCATTATGAACATGGTTTGAGTTGAAAGTTCTACTAAGGTGTACACGCCCATTGTTGAATTTCAGAGCTCATTTCAAACAAACCTCCATGGCCGCTATTTGGCGATACGTCGAATAAATGGTGACTTCGGTTTTTATGCTGTTTTGTTATTGGTCAGATAATCTTTCATTTCCATTCATGAAGCAAGGTTGTCAACTTGTCAAAGTCACCAATTATAATCAAGTTATCGAAAAGATGTTGGAGTAATGTCGTTAAATAAAACATAATAGGAGGAACCCATGATATTAGAGTTCTTTCTTGACTTTTTCGAGCAACCTGTATGTCCAAATATTTATTATTATCCATAACAAAATAAAATGTGAATGTTGGAGACTTGGCAACATTGTGCTGAATGCTGAGAACTGACAAGACCACGCCCACAAGTTGTGCGCCGTGGTTGTCACGTTCACCAATTCAAATGTCCTCTAGTGTGAATTAATATATATTTTTATTATTTACACAAATTCATTCTAAGCAATAAGACACAAATCATAAGGGAACATTTTGAGACAATTGAATTTTTATTGCTATTTAGAAATATTACCAATACTCAATTGAGAATTTATGAATTATTGAATAACTAATATTCATGAAGTTCCCAATCGTATCTCAACACATGGCAATGGGCTTATATCACAAAAAAAATTCATTTCATAATTCGATAGAACTCACCCAAACTAGCTCACCACCGCAAACCGTTCCTTGCTGTGAGCTCCCTACGGTTTATAAAAAATTATTGAAATCCCCGATTTCTAGAACCTCTGAAAACGAGGCGATGATGTGATGTCAAAACCCTAATACTGAAACTAGACTTTTCCAGACAGAGATGAATGCTACATAATTTTTAACAGAGTGAATTAGCGCTAGATCACAGTTGAAAGAATTAATATATCAGTTGCCTCAGTCTCCGTCGGGCGTTTGGTATTCTCTTTCAACTATGGCGAGATGAGGTTCCTACGTCATGAGAAGGTCCGTTTTCAGAAGGTACTATTATTTATGTCCAAAAATGAAACATTCCAGTTAATTTTTCGATCGAATTATGTCGTCAATCATTATTCTCATGTATGAAAGGATCATTATAAACATGGTTTGAGTTGAAAGTTCTAATAAGGTGTACACGCCCATTGTGCTATGGTCCGCCCCTACTTACGAAATCGTGGCGTCAGTTTTTACTGGCGGTATATTTCTAGAAGTTTGAAAATTAACGTCATTATTGATGATTTTAGCTCCTAAAAATCGACCGAAAAATTCTTAAAAGATATAATATTAAAATCAATTGTTTATTTTGTTTTCTTCTTCAGGATCGAGTTGGAGGTGTTATCGGTGGTGGCGCAGCAAATATCCAGCATCCAGCTGGCTGTGGCCGCCAAACTGACCAAGTTTGTTTTCGAAGGTACCGAGATCACGCTGGATCCCACGTGTACCGTTTTCATCACCATGAATCCTGGGTAAATATCCTTGATCTCCAATGTTCAAATGTAGTCTTATGAAAATGTTCTTTGCTTTCTTCCACCCTCTCAATCTTGAAGATCTTCTAATGATTTTTGCTTTTTTTATTTGATAACGTTGATCAGTGGAATATATCTACTTATCATTTGTGATAACTCTGAATGAATAATTATTTATTTATTTAAAATATACTTGTAATAGGGACAAATGTCTTGAACTTCTAGTAATTGGTCGATATGATATGATTTCCAGATATGCTGGTAGGCAAGAACTCCCAGACAATTTGAAAGTGTTATTCAGAACGGTGGCAATGATGGTACCAGACTATGCAATGATAGGTGCAATCTCCCTTTATTCTTACGGATTTGTGCAAGCAACAAAGTAAGTTCAAATGATCTTTATCTACATATAATTTTAGCTTTCTGTTAATATGTATTGAACATATAATTGGTCTCAAATCTGTTCCTTGTTGTATTGTCACGATAAAATAGTTGTTTCCACCATGTTACGATACAATAGATGGTTAGTCCATCCATATCCATTTATAATATAAGGGGTTATGCTTGGCTTAATAGTTTGCGAGAGGTAATATTCGAATAGGCACTAATAGTTTAGGGGTACCTGAAAGTACGAGACTATATTCAAACATAACAATAATTCATTATTCCACATTTTTTGGGATTTTCTCTCCTCGTTTCTATAAAATAAAAATATGAATATTATTTCAATATACTGCGTTTAAAGAATTTTCTTATCAGAGAGCCTAAAAGAAAAATTCACTAGCTTGTCAGTGACAATTTGTATTGAAAAATTTTTGGAGAAGAGAAATGAAGATATATAGAAAAAATATCAGATTTTCACTTATCTTTGGACGTTTCGGGACCGATTCTGCTCCCGTTTTCAACATGAAGAGATTTTTTTCAATTGCGAAGTCGTATAATATGGTTCGAAATAACTAATATACCGTATGTTCTACTCATGACAGTATACTACATGTAATTTTCATGAGTGAGCCACAAGTAATATTTTTCACTCAAAATGGAATATTTATAACTATGCTATGGTTACATTGAAATTGCAAAGCAACGAAGTCTTCGCGATTGGTTGTACAAACTTCCACCGTTAGGTGTGTACAAATATACACACAATACATAGAATACAGAGAAGAACTATACACATCAATATCCAAACGAAAAAAAAAGAAGAAGTATGACCTCATCAAATCTAATTATTGCTAAACAAAAATCAAGAACAATCAAGTTGAATAAATCACAATAAAATTTAATAGTACTAGTTACTCTCCCCAGGAGAGTCAAAAGAATTATAAAGGTAAGTATAGGTTATGTCAAAATGTTATTGCAAAAAAAACATATGGTAAATGTCAATTAAAATATGCTTGCTTCGTCTGATAGATATAGAGACAAACAGCAACGTACATATATTGAATTGGTCGAGATCATCTGACGATACCTTTTTTCCTTCACCTCAACATACTCCCATTTATTTTCTGAATAATTTTTGTACCAATCATTGATTCATTATTTGATACACTGATACCCGTGTCAAGAAGTACAAATGCCTATGAATTAACATAACTCAAACTCTCGTTCATTCAAAAATCTTTTATCATAAATTAACTTTTCCAAATCAAAACATCCAGTACATTTCGATCAGGTCAGCGGAGTTCAAAGACGTCAATTCCTCTAGAATTTGAAAAAATCGCTTACCGTGCGATGATACCTAGGTAAGCAATATCGAAAGGTAACGGCCATTCCCATTACGGAAAATTGCGATCCTAGCATAGATTCCGAATATAAATAGTACCCGAGTCGATAAGGCATCATTATTATCAATTCAAGTCATTAGTAATCATCAATCGAAAATGTTCGCCGTCACCCCGACTTCAATTCTGCTGGTCAACCCAATGCACGTTGTAATGTAAGTACTGCTTTTTTTTCGAGTGTTGTTTCGCGTTGTGTTTCATTTGGCAAGCCATTATGTTCTCTTTTCTTTGCTAACCTGCCGTGTGGCAAGCATCCATCCACGATTTTTCCATTTAGTCAATAAATAATAAATGTCAAATTTTATATTTAAACTGTCTTGACTCTTTATTTGGGGATGAATGTGGTTGGGTGGTCAAATAATTGATTGATTGATTGATTGATTGATTGATTGATTGATTGATTGATTGATTGATTGATTGATTGATTGATTGATTGATTGATTGATTGATTGATTGATTGATTGATTGATTGATTGATTGTCTTTATTACCCCAAGAAACATTTCTGTTTATGATAGGCATACAAAAATACATATAAAAAAATAATAATAAAGGGTTAAATATAATGAATTCCACTCAGTGGAAACGAATTAATATTGTGTCATAAGATTAAAGTTATATTTCATTCCTAAGTAATCAAATCATGCCACATATTTTTCATTCAAATTGTCCTGAGCAATTATTTTTTAAGATTGATTTTAAACCTTCTTGCATCATGTATATTTTTCAACTCATTCGGTAATGAATTGTATAAAATTATTTCATTGTGAAAAACAGATTGTTTGCCAATGTTTGACTTGAATGTATTTGCTATCAAGTAATTCAATTGTCTAGTCCCATAATTATGGACTGTATTGACTTCATTGAAAGCTAAATTTGATATTTTCAATTTATTCCTGGCAAAATGAATAGAGCAACATATTTTAAGTTTATATAACGAAATCAGGTTCAGAAAATGTCTTGGTTTGCATAAATTTATCGTTGGTTCTAGGAAATGTAGATGAAAAATGCACTTAATTGATTTGTTTTGTAATTTCATTAGTGGTTTCAGACGTGAAATATTTGTACTCCCCCAAATAGAAATTAAATATTGCAAATTTGAATAAATGAGGCAAAAGTAAATACATTTCAAGTATTTTATGGGAATGATATTTCGGATTTTGAATAAAATGCCTATGATCGGATTTATTTTATTTCTCAAATGGTCTATATGTTTAGTCCATAATAATTTTTCATCAATATAGAGACCTAAAAATTTTGTCACGTCTGTATATTTAATGAATCTATTGTTGAAAGTTATAGCATTATTCGAAATATTAACTAATCTCTTGGAAATATACATATATGAAGATTTGTTATAATTAAGAGTCAACTTATGAATTTGCATCTAAGATGATATGTTTTCCAAATCACTTGTAATATCCCGTTCGATATCATTTAATTCTTTCGTCAAAAAGCCAAGCTAGTAGCTAAGTTACGACGTATAAGAGGGCCTACATCTGAGTTGCGACACGTGGTAGAGGCGCCGTTTGTTCTCAATAATGCCATATAACCTACTAGAAATATCTGAGTTGCAACAATATGTTTCAGTCTTGCACAAAAGATCGTCCATACGTACAAACTGTGTTCGGAGCAGCTGTCTTCTCAAAACCACTACGATTACGGCATGCGGGCTGTCAAATCCGTGCTGCTGGCGGCGGGGGCACTCAAAAGGGGCTATCCGGACGTGCAAGAGGCGCAGCTGGTCCTGCGAGCCATCATCGACGTCAATTTGCCCAAGTTTTTGGCGCAAGACGTCCCCCTCTTCATAGGTAAACTAGCTGAATCAGAGATCGTGTCAGCATCGTTATATGCTCAGACTAAATAACAAGAGATATACACTGCGATTCGGTCATCAATCATCAAAAAGTATATGGCAACGATCCTAAATGCCAAACATAAACGAATGGAATCGCAAATGGTGGGGATAACTTTACGAAATCATTGTTTTCTGTAGATGTCTGTATGTATAATAATAATAATAATAATATGTATATTTCAACTTTTGAAAATCTCGAATTCATCGAGGCAAATACACAACTTAATATCATTTGGTATCACAAATAAAACCAACCTTGAAACTCATTTTCAGTAATCGACATGTTCTCAGTGTTGAAATGAAACGAACTTGTGCGAGTCACTCGTGTTGAGCCACTTTAACTATTGTGACTTTCTTCACGGTCCTTGCTTGACGAAATTTGATAGAGATAGAATATAAAAAGTCCAAAATAGCTTCTATAGACTAATCTACGGTATCAGAAAATACGATCATATTCCACATAAACTTAGGGAATGCAACTGGCTTAATATGAACAATAGAAGACAGCTCCACTTAGGTACATTTACCCATAAACTATTGAATGACTCCAATTCTCCAGCTCTGGCAAGCAAATTTATTCCTCGATTCAGAATACACTCTAAAAACATCAGACACAGAACCATCCTGACCATGCCTCAACACAGAAATACATTTGTTCAAAGATGTTTTGTCTTCAATGCTATTCAAATGTATAATATATTACCTGACGAATTCAAAGTTCATAATATAAATAAATTCAAATATAAATTGAAGAAGCATCTAGTTCATATGCAGTCTTGATATTATAATACTATTTAGTACATCCTTCATGTCGTAGATTATTTTTTATCACTTGAAATTCTACTATTTGTATTGCTAGCAATTAATTAGTAAGTACCTATAATAATAATAATAATATAATAATATAACTTTATTCGGAAAAAAATTGTTTACAAGTATATATAAATGCGAATAAAGTTGGTTTGGCGATAAGTGCTATCGCACTTGTTTCACAGGAAATACATTTACAATAATTACAATAATGAAAACATAGATAGAAGGAGTAAAATTATGTCAAAAGAACAATAGAAGTACCATTTCATTAAACCTAATTACAGTGGGGATCTCACAAAATATATTAGAGTAAAATAAATAAATAAAAGAATGATAAAAATGGTAGAGACTGCGAACTATGTACATCTTCCTAAATATGACAAGTACACAAATAAATTTTCGTACTCAATAAGTGAACAACACTTGTTTCGAGACGAAAAATCTATTATGAATCAGCACCCAACCAATCAACATATAAAATAATAATCAATATATTTAAAATCTGAAAAAGCTACCAATGCACACCTACGCCCTTGATGCAAAATGACATACATATATACATACACGAACATACCTGACTTATAATAATATATAACCGAAAGTAATTTTAACGAGTCGAATCATAAGTCCATCCTAAGAGAATAACTACATAACAATGTGATGTTATACCCCTTCCACTGCTAGAGCTGATCAAAAATATTTTTTATTGACGAAATCAGCGATTGATTGTCTTGCCTGACTGAATATGAAAGTTTTGAGTGTCTTTTTGAAATGTGGAATATATCGATGCTTCTAATTGTATTAGGAAAAGTGTTGAACAGTTTTGGAGCTAAGTACGTATAAGTATGTTGGATGAGTGTATTATGTATTACATTTCATCATTTTATTTGCTTTATAGTTTTGTTGTTTCACCTTCCTTGCTGTCTCAGTTAATTTGCTGAAGTCATTTTGCTTTTTTGGGCATATAGCCCTCTGTTGGTTAAGTGGAATGGCTTTGAGCTAGACTTCGTCAACAGTCTATGTAAGACTTTTTTCCATGTATTTCACTTATGACAATAAAAGGCGTTCATTATTATTATTATTATTTGTACTAAACCCAGCGATTTTTAAAATGATTTTGCCTTTGTAAAGGATTCGCGAAACTGTACTTTGTTTGTACTCTAATCGATAGGCATCTACAAGGATCTGTTCCCTGGCATCGAGTTGCCGGTTTTCGAACGAGCCGATCTCATAGCTTGCCTGATCGAGGAGATAAAGAAGAAGAACCTGCAGCCGACCCCATGGTTCGTGGAGAAGTGCATGCAGATATACGAGATGATTCTGGTGCGGCACGGCCTGATGATAGTCGGAAGGCCTATGGGCGGGAAAACTTCGGCGTACCAAAGTTTGGCAGAAGGTAATTTTTTTATTTCCTGACTATTGTTTTTCTCAATGAAAATCTAGTTGGTAGGCGACAGGTATAATATTGTTTTTCTGCAACCGACACAAAAGTGGTCCATTTTAATACCAAAATTAGCTCTTGAATTGATGTTTTTGTTACTGACACAAACATAGGTATGTTGCTAGGCAACACATGTAGTTTCTAGGTGCTAAAGTTGAACGTTAGATCCTAAGAACTAGAGTTCCTAAATGTACTTGACACTGCTGCTTTGACGTTTCTTCTATATTAGAGTACGGACACTATGAGAAGCACTGACAATCAGACATAACCACAAATAAATTGATGGAAAGAGCGGGAACTGACAGTACACGGAAGTACATGACATAAATTTCTAGGGCTTGACAAATTGAGAGAATTAGGAGAAATATGCAAGTTTGTGCAGTTTCCAACTGATGAAAGTGCATGTTCATGCGTAGTTGATCAGTTAGTACTAGACGACTGCATAGCTCCTAGTGGATTTTGAACCACTTCTTGGGTACCAAGATACGAGCAAGATATTATCAGAGCACAGAACAAGAACGCTTAACGAGTGCACCACTTATGTAAGGTATTGAATATGATCTTCCGATGGCAGGGTTCAAACCAACAATAGTGAGTCGAGCGCTGAAGTCCATCTATACCTACTTCCGTATGTCTTGGAGAACTTTTATTATTTATTTATTTATTCTAACTGAAATCAGCTGTTATTGTTGCCATATCATTTGTTCATTTATTAGTTACTTATTACCTACCACTCTTGTACAAGTGAAATTGTTCCATACGAAATAAAAGTATGTTTCATTGGTTGAATTTTATCAGTTTTTACCCCATTCTGAACTTTGATAAAAAATATTCAACTGAACGTATATATAGACTTATTTCATAGGAATAGTATATTATTTCGTTGGTATATATGTACATACCAACTTGAAATCGACCTCCATTGAGGTCCTTCAGCCTTATCATTCAATATTCCGAGAAGAAATAATTTTCTTATCAATTTATCGTACCCTTTTACCCACTCGAGGAGACGCTATGCCCTCTCATACAAAAATCAACGACAGAGAAAGATATGGATGTACTCTTCCTAGGAGTTGTGGAAAAACATATTCTTGTCCTTGTCTGGCAAAACATATGATTTGCTTCAAAATCGTTTGTGGTTATGTTTGATTGTCACTGCTTGTCTAGTGTCCGTACTCTGATGTACAAAAAACGTCAAAACAGCAGTGTCAAGTCCATTTAGGAACTCTAACTAATACCATCCAGTGACTATACCTACTAGGTTCTCATTTCGAACGTCAATATCAATATCCCCAATTCAGGTCTGGGCAGTCTGGCGAACCGAACGGATGCCAAACTGGCCGAGAACCAGGTCATCTACAAGATCATCAATCCGAAGGCGATCAGCATGGGTCAGCTGTACGGCCAATTCGATCCGGCTTCGCACGAGTGGTCGGACGGAGTGTTAGCCACTACCTTCAGAGATTACGCCAATAGTTACACCTCTGACAGGAAGTGGATCATCTTCGATGGACCGGTGGACGCCGTGTGGATCGAGAATATGAACACGGTGCTGGACGACAACAAGAAGTTGTGTCTGATGTCCGGGGAGATCATTCAGGTGGGTTGTGTGCTTAGATCAATCTAGGGTCCTTTGAAAATGTCTAGGTTTGTATAAATTTTCCGTTGGGTCTAGAAAATGTAGATGAAGAATGCATTTAATTGATTTGTTTTGTAATTTCATTAGTGGTTTTAGGCGTGAAATATTTGTTTTTACCCAAATGGAAATTAAATATTGCAAATTTGAATGTATGAGGCAAAAGTAAATACATTTATAGTATTTTATGAGAATGATATTTCGGATGTTGAATAAAATGCCTATGATTGGATTTATTTTATGTTTCAAATGGTCTGTCTATACGTTTAGTCCATTATAATTTTCCATCAATATAGATACCTAGAGGTTTTGTCACGTCTGTATATTCAATGAATCTATTGTTGAAATTCATAGCATTATTCGAAATATTAACTGAGTTCTTGGAGATATACATATATGAAGATTCATAGTCAACTTATGAATTTGCATCCAAGATGAGTTCTAGGAGATTTACATATATGAAGATTTGTAATAATTCAAAGTTAACTTATGAATTTGTATCCAAGATGATATTCCAAATCACTTTTGATATCCCGTTCGATATCATTCAATTCGTTCGATATATAAAGCAATGTTGTTTCATCCGCTAATAATTTCAGCTTTCCTCTCCAAGTTCAGAGTTGATATTGAATTAATATGAATTAAAAATAAAATTTGTCCCAGAACTGATCCTTGCGGTACTCCACATGTGATATTCTTTAGTGAGCGACAAGTATCATTAACTTCAACTAAAGTCCCTTGTTGCAAACTGACGTATTTGTCATCTGACATGGTACGGACAGATCATAGCCCCTTTCTCTTTTAATCATCTAGTGACTTTGGTTTCGTGTATTGGCGTCCCTGACATGACATTGCTGTCTCGTCACATTCATAGGCGTTAAAAGAGATCTTACAAGATTGCAATTTCATACTCGATCTTAATACGACATTATTCAATTCTGTTTTGGAAGAATGGTAAAATGTGCTGCGTTGTGTCTGATGTCCTGGGAGATCATTCAGGTGGGTTGTATGCTTAGATCAATCTAGAGTCCCTTGATGCAAACTGACGTATTTGTCATCCAACAGGGTACGGACAGATCATAGCTCCTTTCTCTTTTAATCATTTAGTGACTTTGGTTTCGTGTATTGGCGTCCCTGACATGACTTTGCTGTCACGTCACATTCATAGGCGTTAAAAGAGATCTTACAAAATTTTAATTTCATACTTGATCCTAATACGACATTATTCAATTCTGTTTTGGAAGGATGGTAAAATGTGCTGCGTTAGGCTGTATCAATTAGTTGGATGGCAAATTTAAATTTGTCAGCTTTTCATCAAATGCAATGTACTTGGAATATGGAAAGTGAAGTGACCGAATGAGGAAAATTGGTAAATACCTACATCAGCAAAATATTCGAGGTAAAACTAATACGGAATCACATATTATACTTTCTCATTGTGCCTAGTTTTTGAATGCATTTTAGTAGAAACAGTTTTGATAAAAACGAAGGATTAAAAGAAGAGGCATATGCCCTACCATTTCAAAAATTATACCTACATTCAGGAAATATTAAGTGTTCGTAAAAAACTGCAAAAATGATTCCCAACATGAATATATACAGCACACATGACATATGAGCACATTAGTTTAAATATCTACATACAATTTTTCACCATTTCTCAAGCATAAGGCTTAGTCTGAAATCTCATTTGGTTAACCGTATTGAACATTCAGAAAAATTTGCTCACTGCCTCACAAAGATTATGCTGGAGTTGAAACATCAAAAACTCGAAAATTATCATCATCATTTGGATATAATATGTAGAGTTGAATAAGAAATTACATGTGGAAATTACGTATGATACGCCAATGTCCTCAATATAACCGAAAAAAACAACAAATGTCAGAAATCCAGTGTTTATCCCTAGAAATTAATAAGGATAGAACTATATAACTGTTTCACAAATACTTTAGAGTGAGAGGAGACGTGGATCTGTCTGTACCCTGTTAAGATGACAAATACGTCAATTTACATCGAGGGACCCTAGATCAATCAGCATTGTGAAGGATAAACAATATTCGCAACTTTTACTAACGCGGAAGTTGTAACCACGCAGGTGCTTGCACTAACAATTGCAAAATTCGAACGCCATCTCATGACACTTGAATGATACATATCAAGAGAAATGATTCTCCTAGAACTGAAAAGGACACGAATCCTTTCATAGTTTTCGCTTGAACTGCTCGTTACTCCAGGTAGTCTTGAGTGCTGCTTTGTATCCTTTGTGAAGAACTTGTCAGTCTTGCTGGTTTGGTTTGAATAGATCCGTCTCGAAGGACCAATATGTTCGATGCTTAATAGATAGTGCCGATAGTGGACTGCATTTGTATGGTTGTCTATACTAATATTATAAAGAGGAAATATGTGATTGTTTGTTTGATTGTTTGTATTGAATGGGTTCCGAAACTACTGGACCAATTTAAAAAGTTATTTCACCATTAGAAGCCGACTTTTTCCCTGATGAGTATAGACTACTATTCACCGCTCTAAAATGCTTCATTGTGACAGGAAAACGGTAGTTATGGTGGCACTAGACAACCACTCCATTGTATTAATTATCTCAATATTGTTAGTCATTTGCAAACTTGCAGTTTGCCTCTGAATATTGTATGTTGAATTCTAATAGAAAATAAATCAGTTACTGAATGAGCCTCAACCCGAGAACATCATTTTTTGACTCAAGTTCAGCTCATTTTTAAAAAGTCATTTCGACCGCTCGAACCCAAAACTGGCGCAGTCGTGGTAGGATTTGTTCACGGAAATTCGACAAAAATCGCGAGTTCCGGTCTGTACCAACAGTTTAGTTCAAATTCGACAAAAAGGACCGAGTGACCAAAAATAGCTGAACAACCCCTTGGAATCGAGGACAAGCATCGCCAACGTTCCGAGAAAAAACTGACAGAGGACAAACATCGCCGAAATCAGTTCTAGGATAGGAAGTCCAGGGACAAGAGACAGCATCGCTCAACTCCTATTGGCAGTAGACTTAAGAAAAACGAAGAAACAAGAAACAAGAAACAAACAACAAGCAACAAGCAACAAGCAACAAGCAACAAGTAACAAGCAACAAGCAACAAGAAACGAAGAAACCAAGAAATCACCATCATCACCATCCATCAGAGAATGAAACCTACAGCAGTCATCCTACTGTAAGTCATTCAGTTTTCACCCCCATTCCTTGTATATATTTGCTAATATTATAACTTTGAAACCACTAGGTATAGTAGTAGAATTTTTCAAAATTTATGACAGATATTGACAATAGTATAGAAGATTTAGTTCATCTTTTTGATAGTGTATCTGTAGTAGAAAATCAAACAAACAATATGAGCGACCCAGTAAATTATCAGCTTTTGAGACTTTATATCGACACTATTCCTCAATACGATGGAAACCCACATACACTTGGCGTTTTCATTGATAATTGTGAAAGTCTGATTTTAAATTTTCAAAATCCAAATAACGCCTCATTAAACACTTTCATTATAAGAGCAATCATCGGAAAATTGACAGGTAGAGCTTTAAGTTTAGTTGGTTCTAGAATAGAATTAAAAACTTGGACGGATATCAAAAACACATTGAAATTATGTTTTGGAGATCAAAGAAATCTTGATTGTTTGGTTCAGGACCTTATAGTTTTAAGACCATTAAAAAATGAAACCCCGTATAACTTTGGCATGAGAATTCAAGATTCTAGAAGTCTGATAGTAGCTAAATTGAACGCTTCTAATGGCACAGTTCAAGAAAAAACAATAAAAATGCAAAATTATGACGAGCTATCTTTGAAAACATTCATTAGAGGATTACCAAGTCAACTTCAAAATAACGTTAGGCTTAGAAACCCTGATAATTTAGAGCATGCAATGGCATTAGTCATTGAAGAAGAAAATTTCATGTACAGTCAAAATAGAAATAATACGATCAATTCCCAAAATTCCTATAGACCCATTCCAAAAATAACTCCTGTTAATCCAAATCACAGAAACAATTCATTCCCACAGAGACCAATGTTTCAAAATCCTCAAAATGCACATCATTCGAATAATTTCCAAAGACCGAATTTTTCACAAAATAATCAATCACCAAATTGGCCCACACAAAACGTGAGACATTCATTCCAACCATCATTTTATTCAAATCGCCCTTATCCATTCCAAAATAACCAATCACATTTTAATCGTCCGAATTTTTCTCAACAAAGACCAAGTCAAATAACCCGATTTTCACAAAATTACAATAGACCAAGTAATTCACAAATTCAAAGAAATAATTATTATAGACCAGAGCCAATGGATACTTCTTCAGGCAATACAAGAATCCATTCACAGAAACAACCCACTCAAACTAGATTATTCGCTCAAGACATCGAAGAACTAGAATTTGAAAATCCTTTTGAAAATCAACAAAACACTGAATATGACGAAAACCAACAAAATATGAATAATCCACAGAATGATTATTCTAATGAATATTATGAACAAGAACTTTACAACGACTTTAACCCTGATAATGACTATTATGATCAATATGCATCCAATGAAGAATTCACTGAAAAATTCGAAAATTCTGAAAATCCTCAAACAAATAACCCAAATCCAAATTTTTCCCATGTACCTATGAAAAACCACCCTATATAATAAATCTAAACCTATCAAAAAATAATTTACCACACATTTTCATTCCAGAATTGAACGCAAACTTTTTAATTGATACAGGTAGTACACGAAGTTTCATGACACCAGAATTGGCATACAAATTTTACAAAAAAAATATTTACGAACAAGATTTCCATATACAGAGCGCACATAATATTTCATACCATAATGAAGTAGCTATAATTCCAGTATTCAATATTTTTAAAATTCCAGAGACACACAAGTTTTATTTATTCAAATTTAGTGACAAATACGACGGACTAATAGGCGTTGATTTA